TGGCCCATGTTGGAGGGTTCAGATCGCCGCCGGAAGCCGCAAGGTTCGCCAAAGTGTGCCACCCCTCCGTGGGGCGTTGGACACGCCGCAAACTGGTGGCAAAGCGGGAGCGCCAGCATCAGGCCGTCCTCAAAGTTGCATGTTGAGGGGGCTCTCAAAAATACTTTTGGGGGCATCCTTTTTTGAGGGGACCCATACAAAGGGTTGTTTTTGTGTTTTGGTTTCTCTTTAACAAAGCAATACCCCCCCAAAACAAATTGACAACCCAAAAGTAGTGTTGACTTCGGATTGACAAGCCCGGTCTATTATTGGGGAGGTGTTACACACAACAGTGATTCCCACCAAACGGGGATTCCCCCCTATCAATCAACCTGAAGTTTACTGCAGCGACGATATGCTGGAGCTTGTCACTTGACGATCAACTGCATTGCATCCCAAACAAAGGGTTCGTGATGGTTCGCGAGCGCGTTTGAAGAGGGCTAGCGTGCTCCTTTGTCCATTAGCAGAGGCAGTAGGACCGGACTTCCTGCCAGAGAGATTCCAAGACCTCAAGACCCTTCTAAACCCCCTTCTAGGTTCTAAGAAACTGTCCTGGCGATGGGGGCCTTTGGTTGGTCTCATGTTTTCCTCAGAGATATACATTTCAGGACCTGTGTCCTTCTTTGAGGTACCGCGTTCTTGGTTCCTTGGGGAAACCAATCTGACACCGCTCCTTTGAAATCATTGTACATCTGCAGGTTCACTGAATATGGGCTAGAACAAACATAAACAAGTGGGAGTTTTGGTGGGTGCAAAAGCTCTGGTAGCTTGTGGGGTTCCCCTGTTGGCCAGCAGGATATGCTCGAGACTGTCCAGAATCACACGCCAGAGGTGCTGGCCACTTGGACAAAAAACTGGGGAGCCCGTCAAAAGCGACTTCTGCCATTTTGAGGGGTGCCGGATATATACCCAACAAAGGTACTCCCCTGCAGGTCCGAACAGGGAGATTTGAGGTTCCTGGATCCCTCAAAATTGAACATTCTGAGGAATTCCAAAATGTCACTTCACCGGGCCCGGGACAAAGTCCAGACAGGGATGGGGCATGCAGGTCAGTTGAGCTGAGTTTGGTTCTGCAGTACTGATCGCGACATTGTTTTGTTCAAACGGACAGCTTGGATACTACGCGTGTCAGGGTTGTTGTTTTTGTTGAAGCCCGTTGGGCAGAAATCCTGGTTGCCTTTGAAAGCGAAGCTGATTTCTATTCTGAGTTACTGAGTGTTCAGGTGAGTTTGATTATCCACTCTCATCATGTGTCGGTGCTATCTATTCTTCCAAAAGGACACCTAGGCCTACACCTGGGCATGGTTGAGGAACTGTGGAACACATGGTTTTGGGGTCAGCTTCTGTGTTGACAGCCACAAGTGCGTGTCTCTCTTCTTGTTTGGATTTGAAGGTAAACCAAAGAAGCCATCCCTTTGCGAGGACGCTGGAAGCAAACACTGACCTGTTGCAGGGGCTCGTATCCACCAAAGAAGCAGAACAACCTCTGGTTGTTCCAACCGAAAACCTGAAAGGAGCTACATGTGTTCCTATCCTCCTAGTTTAATGTTTTCCTATCCCATTTGTTCCGATCCAGAACTGGTTGTTCCTATCTACCTCTAGGTCCCCCAGTAGTGCCCTTCTCTCCGCTTGTTTGGTTGGGAGGTTTCCCCTACTAAAATTGACAAAACCGGAAAAACAAAAGGAGAAAAACAACAAAAAACAATCGGGTACCAACTTTTTCTCCCCCTCAAATCTGGAGGACCTAGACTTTGTCCATTGTTTTAGGGCGGGGATCGGATCCATCGTTGGCGGCAGGTGATCGACGAGATTGGGAGCCGAGAGGAGGTGGAGGCCGCGAGCTCCATCGGCTTTCGGGGCGTGGCCTTGGTGGCCACCGCGCACGCCCGCTCTCTCAAGGACTGTTCGCGTGGTCCCTTGGGCAGGGCTCCTTTAAAAGATCTCCACTTTGCCCATTTGAAACATGGCTTTTTCCACCAATAAAGGGTGTACAATGGAAGGATTTCTGTTTGGGTCCCTGTGGTGTTTCCCGTTGAGGTGGTTTCTTGACTGCTATCGGGGTGGATCTTCAGACAGTTTTTCACTTTTTGTTGAAATCAAGTTGGGCTCTCGGTACTAACCCCCCAAGCAAGTTTTTCATTTTTTGCAGGGCAGGGTTTAACTGGGTGCTAAATAGCCTCTATGTTTGAGTTCTCGCAAACGGGAACCAACTAAAACATGGGCAAATTCTTTGTTGCTCAATTAGACTTCATGTGTTTTGATGTTTGCCATGTCGAACTGAATTCCCTTTTGGGGTGACGTTTAAATGGGAAATACTGGGAACTCTGGTCGCGTGTGGAGGTCGAGGCATGTTTCATTTGACCAGACAGCAGATGGCTGGTTTCATGTCCAAGTCTGCCCAAGTTTTTGGGTCAAATTGATTGAACTCGGATGGCACTGGTGTGAATATGGTTCTGAGAATGTATGCCATTGATGGTTCCAAAGGAACAACTAGGTTTGGCAAGGTATTGCATGTTTCTGCACGTAACAACGAGCTTCCTCACTTGGGATCTTCCAGGTTTGTGTACTACAGCACCTTGCCCAGTTTGCATCTTACTTGGATGCAAGTGGTGGAACATCTCTGGATAAGGCGGATTTTTGCGAGATTTGATCCTAGTCCCTTTTGTTGTATTTGGACAAAAAGACCCAGGGCTCCTGCAGGTCCGACCTTTGGGTAGCTGATGCATTTGCCCGGAAACCTTACCCGGCTCCTTTTCCAAAGAAGGTACGTGCTGGTAAGAGCGGTTCGTGCACTTTCATGTTTGAAGGAAAGAGAGTAGAAAATGAAGTCTACAACTTGGGAGACCTCCTGTTTGGGTTCTATTTAAAGTTGCCGGGTGATATTTGCTCCTGGTTGCGGACAGCTTGATGAGCTCGGGTTGGCATGATGGCTTGCATCAGCGCAGAAGTACAGGTCAGAGCGCTTGCAGCATTCTCAGGGGCCGCTGAAATCTAGTACGTCCGTTTTGTTCATTGGCTTGGACCAGCACCTTTTTGGCCCATGTAAGGGGAGTTTCCCTTGGTAGAGGTGGTGTTTGAAGGGGAGACTTAGGGAGGCGTTTTCGTTGACCGCCAGGATGCCATGGACAACCCCACGTTGCAGCCTTTGTTCGGCGGCTTCGCAGACAGCACCGTCTCAGATGAGACGATGCGAAGAACAGGGCGTGGCAAGAACCTGAGGGAGAGGAAGGGGGAGCCTGTGTTCAAGAGCTGCTTTGCCTCAAGCGGTTGGTGTTGACTATGTGTGTGTTCCATGTTTTTGTGCAACGTTGCATTGAGATTGTGTTTTCCTTTGCCACAAGCGTTTTGTGTTTCCCAATAAATGTACGTATAAATATATATATATATACATATATAGATTGCTTGGATGCTACCAAGTCGAGGTTTGGTGGAGCTCAGCGATGTGGGCGACCAGTGGCGGATTTACCCCAGCGTCGCAGATGCCGTGGATGCCACCCTGGCCAACAATCCGCCGCGCTCTGTGCTGGCAGATGCGTCCTTTCAGGAGAGACGAAATTGGCCTCCTTACCAGAAAGGTTTAATTGCGGTAGTGAAACGAAACAAAAAACAACAGTTGCGAAATAGGTTTCTTGCCGTGGTTACAGTTGCTCCTAAGCACCCTTCGAAGCAGGTTCCTTCCGAACCTGTCTTGGCTGGCAATATAGGGGTCTAAATACTTTCACCTAGTGTGCTATGATCCTGACATAAATTGATTTAGTCTTGTGGGACGCTAGTTGTTTGGGCCCGTATAGTAGGTCCTTGTGCCAGCTTTCTGGGCAGTTTGCTAGGGGCATTTGCTTGTTTGATGTTTCTGAGCAAAGTTCTAAAAGTATGTTTTTGCTTAGTCTTTCTGGTCAGATTGCGCAAGTTTGACCTTTCTTTCTCCTTTTGGGCAAATTACAGATTCCCCAACCTGGACATCAGCAATGAATCCCCAAGCACGGCGCCTCTTGTTTTTCCTTCGTTCTTCAGGGGCGGTCGCGCCCTTCGCGGAAAGCGTTCTTCACGGCCACGACCGAGACTTCGTCGCGGGGGGATGTGGATGCGGTGGGTGCCGAAGCCAAGCGGCGCACAGAGACCTCAGGCCAGTGGGCGGATTTTTTGCCTGAAGGTACCTTTGTCACCTTGGTTTTCGGGAATACGGAACACGAAGAGCAGACTTTTGTTTGGAGGGTGCCCTGTTTTGGCGCATGCTCAGTGGGGGTGGTCTAGTAGCAGGTCGGCTTGCTGACTGCCAAGCCACACTGCAAGAGTGACCTCAAAAGGGGCTTGGCGCCCTTGATCAGTTGGGTTGCAACCCACTTTTTTTGAAAGACAAGCCTAAGCCGCCCCAGCTCACCTTCTCCGAAAACTGGTAAAGCACTGGCGGCTCTGCGGCCAGCTCGTTCCCCTCCCTCCGAAAAATCATGGAAGCCGACAGGTAGGTGTGAGAAGACGACTGTCCCTTTCGGAGTGTTGGAAGGAACGTAAAACCGCACACAACAAATATTCTGCTCCCCACTCATGATTCAAAGGCACCCCTGCAACCCCATTCTCATTTCTCTGGATGTTTTGCCAAAAAGTCAAGGTTTCCCTCTAAAATGGGACAACCGGCATTAGATACTCCCTGTCGTTTTGAGGGTCCCCTTTTCAGGTTGGTTCAAAGGGGCACCAGGAGAATCGAGCCACCTTGTTGGCTCAAATCCTAATTTTGACACATTGGTGCATCTTTTGGGAGGTGTCTAAGGGGAAACTACCCACATGCCCAAGTGGTAGCTTAAACCTTACCCCCTAAAACTTCGCCGGTTTTGGGACCCCAGGCCGCGCCTACCGCCTCTGCTTCGATGGAGGGGTGCACAGCACTGGGCGGCCCGGCGGTGCCGGCGCCTTGCTGCGGCGATTGCGGGCGCGCACGGGGAAAGCGATCAAGAGGCGCGTTGAAGGTTCGAAGACAACTTTTGGCGACCATGGCACATGGGTGATTTGTCTGAGGGTGCAACCAAAAAATTGCTGGTTCTAAAGGGACACCAAGAAAACCTTAACAAAAAAAGACTATACCCACATGTGTGCCGTAAACATCGCAATTTCAGCCGAGAACACCCATTTTGGGGTTTCCCTTCGTTGGAGACAAATCCAAACGTTTTGCTGCAGGCCTGCTGCGGAGTGGATGCTTTGCACTCAGCAGCCCACCAGCGCTCCTCAGATGGAGTACGCAGCCCTGCTGAGCCTCGCACTTAAAAGAGAATAACTAGGAGCCATTTGTTGGATGAAAACTGAAGCAGCTGTGGTTACGCAGGTGTTAATCTTGCTTCCATATGGCTAAGGCGCAATTTCGAGTGTCTTTGTTTTCCGGGTATCGTTTTTTTTTAGCCACGGCCAAATGGGTTCGAACCCATTTTGTTCGGATACTACACGCATGGTCCTTTGGTGCAAGCTACCCGTTTAGGATTCCCTGAGTTTGAGGGGAGGCCCCCGCCCTAAGCGGAAATCAGCTGGTGCCAGGGTCAAGATTGAAACCCTCTCTTGCGCAACCCTCATTGGGGTATATCTCAAATTGGGAACCCTGTCTTGATTGGTGTTTAAAGGGAAAACGGAAACACGCCTTTTTGGAGGGGTCGCAGATTTTCAGGCACGTCCTTGCACCTCCCTTTTTGGGTTCACTTGTGTCCGCCAAATGGAAACCAGGGTCTATTTTGGGTTGTGAACCCATTGGGTTGATCATTTTTAGAGGAAGGGTGTCCGAATAAGTTTCCAGGAACGAAGAAGGCTACTTTTCCCTTTACCACTGGGGTCTGAGCCTTTGCGGTCGTGGGTGGAAGGCTGAGTGCTAGAACTGTTGATGTCTTAAGCGTGCCGCTCAGTCGTTTTTGTTAGTAGCATCCAGTGTCAACCCTCCCTGTGTTTGTGTTTGTGCGTGTCTGTGTGTCTGTGTGTGTATGACAAACCTCTCGAGAACAACTAAATGTTTACTAAACGCTCGTGAGGGTGTTGGCAGAAATGATGGGGGCCAAGGAGAAAGTGCATACACATATGTATACACATATAGTACCTCTCATGGACCCTGGTTTGGTGAGCTTGAGCTGTGTTTTTCCAGTGTTTTGTGCCGTTTTTGCCACGTTGATTTGGTGGCAAAATGGGGGGGGGGGGGGGGAGGGGGCGCGCCGTATGCATATATGCATGTGTGCATACATATGTAATGTAAGCAAAGATATCAACATCTGCCATCTGACAGAGTCATCCATGTCAGGGTATTGGGACAACCCTGGTTTTTTTTCTTTAAAAAGGGTTGTCCCAGTACACTAGGTGTTCAATACATACTTCTGCAACCAAGTATGCACACCCATCTGCAGTCATATGCATTTCTCCAAGCTCTCGCAATTTCTGGATTCAAAGTGAGAGGACAAGATTCTCGGAAAAGATTTCAATCTTGAATATTCATTCCAGGGGTCAAATACTTTCGAGGTTTTAGAATAACTTGAAAGTTTTTTGGGGCTGGCCCAACTTGAATGTGTTGTTTGGGTTTGGCCAGGATTGACGATTCTCAGGCAAGACTTCTGTGTAATCTTCAATCTTGAATCTTCCATCCAGTGGTAAAAATACTTTCAAGATCTTTCAAGTGAATAGCGATCCAGTGGAACCACTTTCAAGTTCTTAATTAGACAAACTTTCAAGTGCTTTTGGTGAGCGGTTTGCTTCATGTAAGCTATGCTTCCAGGAGGTAAAGGTAGGTGAATGCAGCATTTTACGAAGAGGATCATGTTTTTTGTTGTAATGTTTGTATGTATGAATGTATGTATAAGTAAATATATGTTCACACACCGTCACCCCCCCTGAACTCCCTGTCCACCTTTGCTCATCTACTACCTCCGCCTTTTGAGATAGAATGAATTATGATGTCCTGCCCAAATAAGATTATACATACAATTTGATTTAGCTAGAACCCCTTGCTCGAGGTAGTTAAGAATTTGAGCCTCTCTTTTCCCTTGAAATGTCCATTTTGAAACACCGTCTAACAAGTTGATTTTGGACCTTTCTTATGCTACAAAAGGGCCATAACGCAAATAACACAAATCGTATTGCGAATGTTCTTTTAGACGTCCCTTAAATGCTTAGCCATATTAATTATTATATATATTTGAGAATGAGTTTCCATTTAGTTGTTATTATCCATGCTAATTGAATTGCGCTCGTATTATGTCCTATTTAACGGATTATTTTTTGGAATACACTCTTGTCTAGTTTCTTTTGTTAAAGATTAGTTGAAGTAAAGGATGTGTTTATTTAAGTTATATTTGAACGTAAAACACATATTGGAAGCTATATCCTTACTAAACTATATTCAACATTCCAATTCTAGTTGAAGTAAAATCCAATTTGGAAAGGGTATCATATTGGGAGATTTTGGAGGACGCCGGGCTCCGAATTATCAGGCTTTGGGGACCCCAAATTGGAAACTTTAGAGCCTCCGGCTCAGTCCGCCGACATTGTCCTCTCCCTTTTCTCCTTCTTCCTCTCTCCCTTGTCTCCCTGGTGTGTTCTGTCGTCCTCTCTCCCTCCCTCCGCTCCCCATCCTCCCCATCCCCCCAAGCCACTCTCTCCCCAATCTCCCTCTCTCGTATGTATGTATGTATGTATGTACGTACGCACATACGTATGTATGTGTATGCACGTATGTACGTGTGAGCATGCATGCACGTATACGCACGCACCTATGTACAAATACGCATGTACAGTAGGCAGGTATGTATGCATGCATGTACGCATGCATGGCATGTATGTGTACGCATGTACGCATGCACGTATGTACGGCATACCATGCACGGCTGCATGCATTAATGGCGACACACGCAACGGATGTGATGTACGCATGCATTTGATGCATGCATGCACTTATCCACAAACGTGATGTATGTATGTACGTACGTATACAGCACACGCACGCATGTACGTAACACTTCTTCCTCTCTCACACGGCTGCATGTACGCACGCACGCATGTACTATCCAATATATATGCATATGCCGAGGCCAATTCCACGCATGTACGTACGCACGCATGTACTACCACCACCACCACCAATGACGTATACATTTACTAATGCACGCAACTTAACGTGAACGGAACGTATGTGAACGCATAAACGCGTACGCACGGTACGTACGTACTACCACGCACGTACGCACGGCCGTACTGCTGCACGCACGCACGACGCATACATGCACGCACGCACGCACGCATGCAACGTATTATGTACTTACGTATTTACTAAACAACGAACGAACGTAAAACGTATTTGACGTACGTATTTAATGCATGCACGGCTTACTTACTTACTTAATGGCTTACTTATTTACTTATTTAATTTACGTATTTAATGTGTATATAATGCAATGCATTTAATGCACGGTCATTTACGTATTCACGCACGCACGCACGAACGCACGCACGCACGCACGCACGCACGCATTTACGAATCAACGAACGTATTTACTTATTTACGAACGAACGTGAATGATCGAACGAATGTGAATTAAATAGAAGTAGAGATGACGTAATGGCGGCGTAACGCATGTAATGCATGGCATGGCGCGATGGCGTATGGCGTACGTATGCATGCATGCACAGCATGCATGGCGTATGCAATGCACATGTATTATGTATGCATGCATGGCGCATGGCTGTAAATGTATGCATGCATGCATGCATGCATGCAACGTATGCATGTATGTAACGTATGCATGTATGCAATGCATGTCGCATGCATGGCGTACGTACGCATGTATGCACGCATGCAATGATGTATGCATGCATGATGAACGACGATGCATGCATGGCGACGAACGGCGATGTGCGTACGCATGCATGGCGACGGGCGGGCGTGCGATGCATGTATGTATGCATGGCGGCGTACGTACGTAATGACGCAACGATGCAACGTATGCATGCATGCATGTTACATGCAGTATGCAATGCAACGCAATGTGACGCACCTAATGTAAACGCAATGTAAACTAACGTAATTACTGTAAATGCAACGTACGTATGTGTGTACGTACGTATGCATGTATGCATGCATGCGTGCACGTATGCATGCATGTATGCATGTATGGAAGAAACGCATGCAATGGGCGAATGCATGCAACACAATGCAATGCATGTAGTGTATGTACGTGTGTATGCAATGCACGAAACGAATGAAATGCACGCAATGTGTTTAAACGTACGCGATGCAATGGGCGATGCAGTGTCTGTCTGTCTGTATGCATGCATGCGTGGCGCGCATGCATGCATGCATGTATGTATACGTAATGAGTGTAGTAAGCTTGTGCAACGCAATGAATGTATGATGTATGTACGTAATGCAATGAAATGTAATGTAATGGTCAGCCGAAGCATGGCGATGATGAAGCATGTAATGGCGATAGAGTGCAGGTCTGTCTGTCTGCATGCATGTCTGTATGATGTTCAGGGCGGCGGCGATCCCGGCACTTCCCCTTTGCTCCCCAGTATTTCCCGCAAAAAACACGGTTTTTCCAGCGTTTTCGCAAAGAGGATGTCCAAAAACACAGAGTTTTACCAGATTTTCGGCAAAAGGATGCAGGAAGCCCAAGCCAGCAAAAAAGCCGGCAGGGGGAATCGAGCCTGGGACCCCTGTTTTGCGACACCGGCTCCCCGAAGACTACGTTTAGTGGAACGTCATCAAATTGCCGCGCGGTACGTGGGGGACCCCCCCCCCCCCAAAAACCTACGTAATAGACGTCGGGCGGGGGGGGTTAGGGGGGGGGTTATCCTCTATCCTCTCTTAGGTATCCGACACGCCGAGCAATGTCGGCGGATATTTAAAATTCCAGATTTATCATCCCCAAAAAGCACTAAAACCAGGGTCCATGAGGGTTGCATATATATATATATATGTACATAAAAAACAACTGGGGTAAAGGGGGGCCTGTCAATCACCCCAGGTGCGATCAGCCCTGAAACTAAATGCTTGGAACAAATACGGGTGGCACATCACCAGGGTCCCAAAAGGGTTGCCATATTTTTGACAAACCCACATTTGTCGGGTTGAAAAAACACACATGCATCTTTCTGAGGATTGGCTTGCGGGGCACTCTGGACATCCTACATCGACTGCAGCCAAAGCCTCTGAGCATCTTCATTGAGGGAGACTGCAGACGCGCAGCTAGTTGGTAGCTGTTTTTTTGGATTGTAAGACTTGATTTTCTCAGTGCACATATTGAGCAGTTCTCAAAGTTGCATACCTTTGGGGGTGGTTTCCCTTTAAGACAATACTTGCGAGGTTATTGTTTGGGGATGTCACTCAATGGAGCCAGATTCTTGCTGACATCCACGCAAAGGATTTGTGGTGGACCGACATCAAGGGTCGCAACCAGTGCCTATCCAGCACGAGCACCCTGAAGTCGCGCGGACGCTGCAGCAATTCACTGTGCTCGTGGACGAGGCAAGGGAGCAAATAGCAAGGGGCGCAGGGCAACCTCAGCAAATGCCCACTGTTGGGCGGCAGTCTTTGTGAAAAGGCCATTTAAGCCAGAACTGTAGACCGTTGTGTACTGAAGTCGGGTAACCGGCAAGTGTCAGACAAGCAAACAAGCAGGGATGCCGGAGAGCTGTGGGCATAAAATTTCGGGAAATATTTAGACATGGTTTCCTTTGCAGGGAGTCTTCGGATATCCCCGCTTCCCCCGTATCCCTGCTAATTTGTTTTCCCAAATGGGATAAGGTGGTTGAAAAGTTACGCTTCGAGCTTGTCAAGTATGGCAAGCGCAAGCGTTGGCATCAGATTGACAACTCCTTCCTATTTAAAACGACATAAGGAAGATGAGTTCAAACTGATCAATCACGGGCGAAAACACGTTTGTTTTTCCTTTTGCAATGTCAGCTTTTGGGTGTTGGTGTTATTCACCGTTCACGAGACCAAAAAAGGGGCATTACGTTTCGAGTGAAGGCTTGCCCCTGAATTCAGAGGGGAGTCCAAACCGTCCGGTCATGTACTTCCCTCCATTTTGCGGCGGTGTCCTTTTGAAGTCCCATCAAGCCATCCCCAAACGGGAACCTGTGTTCAGAGACGCCCATGCGCAGGCGGTCGAGAGTCTGCGGGAGCAAGGCGTGGAGGTGGGCTGCCTGTGGCGCCGCAGGGGACGCAACCGGGCGGCGGGCCGCCTGGCGCAGGAGGCGCGACGGAGACGCCGAGACGACATTGAGGAGCGCTGCTTCAGCCAGGACGCGGGCGGGCTATGGCTGGAACCCCCAAACATAGGTCCCATAGACCAAGGGTCCCTAGAGGGAAAATGGGAAAGCCACAAAGCAAACCCGTGGATAAAAGAGGATAGTAGGGAACAATCCCAGTCACACAATGCCAAACCAAAGTTTTTTTGAGGCATATTGTGCAATTTCAGATTGCGACAACATGCGACAACAAACATGCCGCACTCTTGCGGGATGCAGGTTTGCGGCGTGGGCGTCTGTTTTGGGAGATCCTGAGTCGGGTTCAAAAAAGAATCGTCAAGCCTGGCAGGATAGGGGAGGGACTCGCGGACTCGCAAAAATTTCAACCACACAAGCCAGGGATTCATTTGACCAATGGACCGTGAGTCATCTGCTGGAGGACGAGCGCCAGTTGCTGCTTTTCGAGCCACACTTGATACCCACGCGGTGGCACATCCAGGAAGTCCACCCGTGCCTGCGCCTGGAGCGCGTTACTTGGATCTGTTAGCTGGGTGCTACGCAGCGCCCGAATTTGTAACATCTGTTGTATGAAAGTAGACGGCATTCCCCCTAGTAGGGCTTCAACAGCCCGTTGGCTCGCTGACATAAAAGGAAACAGATAGATCGATAGATTGATAGATATATGGAGAGCGAGAGAGAGAGGGAGATGGATAGATAAACAGATGGGTAGATAGACAGATAGATAGATATCCATAGATATGATCGGTAGATAGACAGATTTCAAATAGATTGATTGATTGATAGATAAACAACGAAACAGATCTCGATAGACACATAGATAGACGGATAGATGGATGGATGGATAGACAGACAGATAGATCGATAGCAAGATAGATGGATGGGTCGACAGATTGTTAGCTAGCTGGATAGAGAGATAGATGTATAGATTTGTTTGTTTGGAGTGGTAGATACATGGTCAACCAGACAGACAGAGGCAGGCAAGCGGTAGATAGATAGATAGAAAGATAGATAGATAGATAGATAAATAGAGAAGTAGATAGATAGATACATACATACATAGATAGATAGATAGATAGAGAGAAATTGGTCGATCGATGGATGGGTAGGTGGATTGCAAGACACATTGATAGGTAACTAAATATAGCAGATGCAAATAATAAGAGAAAGAGAAACTGAAGGAGCAGATAAAGCGAAAGAGATTAGAACAGATAAGGATAGCGATGAAACCAGATGTCAACAACAGATACAGAGAGCGAACAAAAGAGACGTAACAAATATAACTATTGTTCTCATGATTCTGCACACTTCCGCCCACCGGCGCCAGCTCTACTGGTAGGTTATAGCCGTGGTTTCTGAATTGGCTGGGGTTAGTTAGTTCCCTTAGCACCCAACCTACCAGCGGGTCCCTGAACGCCCAAGGTCAGCCAGGGTGCGGGCGGCGCATCCCTAGCAGCCGAGCAGTGCAGGGATGGGCTTGAAGCTGACACCCTTCAGCGCGGATGGGTCCTTCAGCTTCACGGCGAGGGCCTTGGTCGAAAGGATATAGGAAGCCTTGTGGAACAGGTCAGACACCCGCCCCACACCCGCCCCTCCCCAGCAATTATTACTTGGTTGCGAGTCATCTAGGTGAAGTTAAGATGCATGGGCAATCCACGACAGCCTGTGTGACTCTCGTCTTCGCTACTGGTTTGGTATAAGTACTGTTCAACGTTGCGGCTTTCAAGCCAAAACTACGCTTTCGCGAAGTCTAATTACAATCTCCTCCGCCTCCTCCTGCAAAGCAATCGTACCCTGTTTCGATCGCAAAGTCTCTAGCCAGCGGAAGCACCCCACAAGCCTCAGATCTGAAATCAAATTCCATTGCGCGACTGCGCAGGCTTGTGAAAGTGTGTGTTGGCTGCGTGGCTCCAGAGCCCAACCAACAAACATTGCTCAGAAATTAAGTGCTGCCGCTGCCGCTGGCGGCGCGAGTTTGGCACTTGCGCTAGCTGTTTTTTTAAGTTGCTGCAAGAACCTTAGATTTGCTTTACATACCCCAAACAATGGGTGGCGAGGACAACCAAGTGTGGATGCATCACCAGTTGGTGTTGGTCTATTCTGACGTCAGCTAAGATGTTTGTTTTCAAGCCATGTGGTTCCAGCAAAAGACATCATCGCCCTTTTTCAAAGGAAACTCCGCACATTTGTTTTTTTGATTTTGCGAAATGCGCTGTAGATTGTCGGTTTTTCACCTGTTCGCTCTTAGGTGCAAGTGGAAGGGTGGGCTTCTTCTTTCCTTCTTGGCATTACGCCTTCCTCAGCGCCGTCCTTCAATGAAGCGCAGGCCTTCACCGCGTGTGAGATTGGCTACTGGATAAGCCCAAATTCTGGGCGAGTCTTCGGGCCGGACAACACCAACTTCATCCTGCCAAGTCTGCGAGCTGATATGGGCGGCGAGGGCTGCGAACATTTTCCTGATTTCGGGAGCCACGGAATCTGCGCACTCTGCCGCAGCGAAAGCATTGCGGATCCGGAGGATGGCACCAGGTGGACCTTGACGTACAAGCGAGGAACGTTGGAGATTTTCTTCGCAGCTCCCGGTGGAGCAACAAAGTCCTTGGGCACAGTGAGCCTTGAAGTTCATGAGGAAGTTTGTTCAATTTGTCCTTTGCCACAGGGAACGAAGTTTGTTCCTTTTGTCCAATGTCACAGGAAACAAGGGCCCTTTCGTTTTGTTTGCGCCTCGATGTTGCGTGGCGTGGGCAAGGAGATGGCCATTCGAGGGCTACCTGCCTCATCAATCATACTCAGTGGCTATACTTTTCAAGCCCAAGAAGCCGAGGCACGGTGCCAAGGTCACAAGGACCCCTTCCAAGTCCAAGGGAAAGGGCAAGTCATGGCGAATGCAGCCGGATGACGGCTGGAATCCTCACGAGTTGGCGCTTGTGGTGCTCGGCGAGGTGCACCATGAGCCTCCGACCCTTGACCTGGCGACCTTGCGGAAGCAGGCCAAGCATGACTTGTTTGAACGCGCGTCGAAGGTCGGCCGCGGGCTAGTGACGCAGTGGGACTGGAGGGCGGCGCTTCAGAAAGCATTGCTCAGCATAAAATCAAAGGACAAGTTCTGGCTCCAGCAGCTCCTGTCGGAGCGGCGTGGCAGACACTGGCGCATGATCTCAGACCGGATTCCTTGGCTGGCGGATGAGGGCAGCCAACAATCAAGCGACAACTTGTGTGTTGGCCACGACTCCTTTAAAGAGCAGTTTAACATCTCGGGAGCAAGCCCAGGAGTGCTTGTCAAGGATTCTATGCTTCTACATCCTTGTCAAGCGTCTGGGTGCAAGTGGGTGCTGCTAAACACCGACCAAAGGGCTGTTGCTGTGCGGCCTGCTGGAACTTGGAGGAGCAAAACATCCTTTATGATTGGGTTCATCGATGCAAGCCAGAGCTTGAGCCAGCTTGAAGGCAAGCACCCTGCAGATGTTGGATATTTCTTTTCCCCTTCTGGGGGGCTGGGGCGGTGGAAAGGCACGCACGGGGCACGGCGGGAGGGGGCGGCATAGAACTGAAATCATTGTTTTCCAACCTTTGCTCGAGATTCTGGAGACACAGGCTGATCTATTTGGGGCATGCCCGAGGTATGGGGCATGGGAAGGGCGCATTCTTTGGAACGACGACGATAACACAGTTTGGCCCAACACTGTGGACGTATTTTCTGACTATGATGAATCCACCCCCCTTGAGCCTGCCAATGCGGACGTTGTCGCGCGAGTGCGTGCTTTGATCGGGTTAGCGCTTGAAGGTCGGAGTGAAAGCTCAAGGACTTGGTCCCAGCCAGACACAGAGCCAGACAGAAGTCGGCGTCGAAGACGCTCAAGGACTTGGTCCCAGCCAGACACTGAGCCAGAGGATGATTGAGCCTTTCAGGTTCCCGGCCGTTCCCGGCCGGTATCTGAAGCCCTGGGCTTCGGACTGTTCATCAGATGGCTGGAAAAAAGGTGCAGTGCCCAGTGTCCTTTTCTCCTTTCCGTTGAAAGGGCTCTCTCGTTAAGATCAACTAACCAGAAAAGAGTGCCCTTTTGTTTCCTACACTGGGTGCGCCATGGGAGTGAAGGTGGAAGAGAGCTTAGTGAAACGCAGGCGCGAGTCCATGTTTGGCTTCTCAAAATAGAATCCACCTCGCGGGGTTCCTACTTTTGAGAAACACCCGTTTGCAGGTCAACCATGGTGTGAGGGCACCTCCACCAAAAGTACACCACGCTCGAAGATCTTAGACCCGTTTTCCGTCGACCGCGAGCAGTTGCGTAGCGGAATAGACATCTCCAGGAGCAGCTGGGTATGTAGGCAACCCGGGGGTCGCGTTAAAGGAAACCATAGGGGATGGTTGATAGGGGTCATTCCCTCGTTCCCTCCTGAACACCAGCAAGCAAAGTGCCTCGAGGAACGTCTTCAGATTGGGGAACCTTCAAACCGGTGGTTTGGTTTCACATTGAAACGTGTTGCTGTCACAAATCCCCAAACAAGAAGGTTAATTTGCTTTGCTGTTCTTTCCTCGGTGCCTCGGCATAAGGGTACCGATCAGAGTGTTCCGGCGTGAAGCTGTTTGTAAGCGCATCAGGCGTTTGTTTGCTCACGGCATGGAACACTCAGCATAACAGCTAGTTCTCGGGGGATAAAGGCACAGCCACCCTGCCAAACATCCTATAGAACAGCAGCAAGAAGGATCTCACAATGATGAAGGTCCTGTTCGTGGGGATCCCCTATTTCTAGTCCAATATTTTGAAGAAAAGCACCCGATACAGTCATTACCCCGCAGCCGACGGCTTTGTTTAGGACGAGCTTTCAGTGCTTCCGTTTGTCTGCGGTTGATCGAAGGCAAAGGCGAGTGCATCCAAACCACGTGCCAGGAGCCAGGGTTTGGGCTAGCGTTGCTTTGGGCGTGGGGGCTTGGAAAGTATGACGGCATAACAAGGGGGACCAGCTGTTTGGATCTATTGCGATAACCAGCAACAGTAAGGCGGGGGTGACTCAGTCTGTGCAGCCTGCCTTTTTGGCAGGTTTTCAGCGGGAACCACTAGCAACCGACTTGGAGGGGTCATGCTCATGATTCTCGCCCAAACTAGCCCTCAAGACAGTGGCAGCATGTCTAGTTGTTTTTTTTCCTGGACCCATTGGAATGGTTGGAGTGTTGGAGGTCAAGTTGGTTCTCTTGGAGGCCGTCTCCAACTCCACTCTAACATGTGTGTTTGTCTAATTAGGATCCTACCAACCAACCCGTTACGCGTTTCTATCAATTCGGAAGTTCAAAGGGAGAATTCGCAGCAATAGCCTACGGCATCCGGCAGGAGCCACTTCTCGGAGTTTGCGGGATATCAAACCTCGCAGGAGCTGAGGGAAGCTGCGAAGAGAAGAGAGCCTCTGCCCCCCCCAAAAAATAATCGACCCAAAGCGCCTCCAGAGAGTTTCGGTCAAACTGCCTTCGACAGAAGGGTCCTTCCAAGCATTTTCTTAGCGGGTGGCTTTGGGGCCTGTTTTTTTTCCCATAGGGGCAGTATTGGGCTAGTATCATTCACCAACCTAAGACATGGACCCTTAAGCCCCCGAAACAAACTCCAAGTATCTACAAGCGTCCATCGCTCAGCTGTCAAGAGCTCAAAAGGTCCATCATGGCGCCTAATGGCACTGAAGAAGTCCTATTGACAGTCACACCCCCTTGGTGCACCATTGGGGTCCCGGCCTCCGACAACAGGTGATTTCTAACAATCAGGAAAGTGGACTGGGCTTTCTCAACATGACTCTAGTCTTCAGTCTTCCCAAACCCTTCTGCCAGCTTCCATGTTTGTTGAAAAGAGGCAAGCAAAGATGGGCGTGTCCTTTTTTTGAGGGGTTTTGGTAGTCCCTCCTTTTAAGCACCCGGAACCCACATACAACGTGTTTTTTTTGAGGGTGCCTCTTGGGGGGTTGGTTTCCTAAAAATCTAGGAGTTGATTCCCCATTCTTTTCAACCATCGCTCTTTTCAACAACCAGCTGTTTTCCTGGGTTTTTGGGTTTCCTGAAAAGATTCGGAACCCTGGAAAGAATGGAAAAGGAAGGTAGCCCCAGAAAAAAGGAACCCAAAGGGCAGCCGCTGACTTGGTGGGGTCGCCGCCGCCAGGAGATCTCAAGATCACAGCCGCCCCCCAGGCAAGCGGAAGCCGGGAACCATTCGTTTGTCTCAAATTCATGGCTTCCCCAACATGGTGGTCGGTTTTTGTTGGATAAAACAGTGGTCATGCCTCAAAACTCTGTTTTGAGTGAAGCCACCCAACATGGTGGTTGTTTTTTGGATCGGCCTGGTAAACCAACCAGAAGAGGGCTCCCTCAAAAGAAGACACACTCAGATGTGTGCAACTTGTTGAGGGTACCCCCTTGTTGGCCCCGAGCTCCGACCGTGTTTTACAAGTCATGGCTCAAGGCAAGTCATGGAGTTTTGTGCACCGCCCCAGGCGGTGCAATTGCTGCATTCTGCAACATGGGGATGGGTCAAAACTAAAGCACCAGGGACTGCAGGTTTGAGTCCATGTTTCCATTTACCAGAGATCCATTTGGGGTACCTATGTTTGACCCACGCCCACATTAGAGAGCAAACAGATGTAATCCTGCACAAGTACGCCGTGTTTGTGTGCGGGTTTGTCCTATTTGAGTCTAAACAACTGCAAGCCACAGCTGTTTCCCTCATGCACGGACCACGCATTGTTTGAGATGTCAAAATGAACTTGACCGAAGTCGGTTGTTCTGGTGCGACGCAGATGACATGCCCAATGGCTCACGCAGGGATCATGAATTCAAGGCCCGAGAACAGTCGCCAGCGGCTTCCAGACAACACAGGTATAGATCTTTCATGATGGTGGCCCGGAGGTGCGATGGAAGACAGTCCCAATGTCCTTTTGCCTCCTCACTTCAAGCGGTCTCTTTCCGGGCATGAGACATTTTGCCGGGCGCTTCTCAAGGAGGGAGGGCATGAGTGAAAGTAGTTTGCACAATCTTCCCATGGTTTAGTCATCCTTTGTGAACAACACGGGAATTCTGCCACCTACTTTCATGGCATACTTTCCCAGGCGGATCTGTCACAATACATTCCCTTTGCTTGGCTCGAAGACGGAGCAGACCCGAGGTTGCGTTTTAGTTCCGCGACGCAGTGCTAACAACACATGCGAGAACCTGCTAGCAGGCATGGGCTACAGACAGATGACATGCTTGGGCAATCCGTCATTCTCTTTGTTTCTTGTGGTTCCCATTTTCTCAAGCTCTCCTTCCAGGATGACGACTGGGCAGCACTACGAGGTGGTCTTTCAACGGCCGGTAGCTGTGAGGAGGGACCTCGCCAGGGTTGGAGGGTTCCTGAAAAAGCTTGGTCTCCACAGACAGGTTTACAGGAAGTGGTCCGGCTCGAGCGGCTCTGGGCTTTTGGTTCGGGCTTCCGAAGGGATGCTGTTGGATAGATACCACCTGGGGTAAAGCCCTCCAAGAGCGACCACCAAATTGCTTTGAACCCCTTGAGTTTTCCATGCCGATTGGGGCGAACGGAAGCAACCCTGGCTTACCATGGGACCCTTTGGCCAGGTTGGTCAGGGCTCCGGCTTTAGCTTCCCAGAAAGTGAATTGCCGGTCAAACGGAGCCCGGGTGTTTGTGCGAAAAGATCGGTGAAACTTGGTTCAAAATGCTCAATTGCGGCCAGGCGTGTTCTATGCTGTGAATGGCTACTCTAGTCCATGGGAATCTCCATGTCCTGTCACACGACAGGCCAGAGGTAGGCGCCCAAAATTGGCAAAGGTTCTGGGCCAAATGGGGTTGGGCCCAGATGAACCCCGAAAGGAACAAGTGCTCGCCCGGGCCAAGTCCTGGACAAGGGCTGTGAGGGGAGGGGCATCCCTCGCAAACTCGTAAGGCCTTATGAACTGAGTCACCTTTTTGGGTTTGAACGGACCCCCAATAGCCGTTGGAGGTCCACCCCTCCCAAGAGAAACAAACACAAATAGCCCACAATTTCCTCCCCCCCCCCAAAAAAAAAAACAACCACCCAAAAAAAGACAAAGAAGGACAAAGCAATTCGCCCCCAACAAAAAGTCCCCCCCCCCCCCCGGCCCGAGGCGTCTTTGCCCTGTCGCCAGGCTAGCGCCCTCCACCAACGCCGCCTTCTTCCGGGGCCTGGCGCCAGGCACGAACGCTGCGCGTTCGGAGTTCGGGAGCCGGACATATCCTCGGGGCTGAGGGAGCACCAAGTTTTAGGGGCACTCCCAACATGGGGATTTCGGTCTTCCTCTTGGTTTGACCGTTTTGTTTCTAAGAGCACAAACTATGGGGTACCCTGAAAGTAGAAAGACAGACCCATGTGTGTGTGTGTAAATGGGAAATTGTATGTGTTGGTTGTTATTTTATGTGACGTTATACATTAGATGTCATTGGATTAACATGTAGAGTTTAAGTCGATATCCAATGGACAGATGGATTTAATGATATCCATTAGATATTCGATATTGTGGATATGGGACATTTGCATGTCTTGATTGTTCTTGTTATGTGACTTCATACGTTTGATAACCTCATATAGATAAATGATATTTCACCCACAGATTACCCTCTCTCCCGCTAACATGGCACCTGAAAGGGGATCCCTCCAAGAGGAACTGGATCTTCCAGGTAGCCTCCCACGGGTGCCATGTTAGTTGGAGGGAGGGTAACATGTAGAGTTTCAAGGAGCCTCTCGACGCCTTGGAGTCGTTCGAGGCAGCCGCGTGGAACTCTTTGAGTGGGATCACACGCGGCGCTGGCGGCGCATCACCATGGACAGGCCCAAGGAGAGCGAGCGGTCCAGCGGGTCGAGCGGTGGCCGCTGATCAGACGTAACCCCTTGGTGGTTTGGGTATGGGACAGAGTTTGAAGCCAGGATGTGGATATGGACCGCAGGTGTTGGTTGAATTGTTCCATTTTCCACGGGAAAGCCGTTTTGGGTAGTTTTGACCTGCCAGTTGGATTCTTGGCTTGGGGATTTGAGCCCTTGATTGTTATAGGGAATCAAACACCTACAGATTGACTTGACACCCAACAAACCTTCATTTGCCGAGAAATATTCTTTTGGGAAATGGACCTTCTTTTGGGTATGCTCATTCGCAGAGTAGCTACCTGGTGGTTTGGATTGGTTTGGATTTGTAGTTGAACCCTTGGTTCTCAAATGGAAACCCCAAACCTTCAAGCCACCAATCCAAACCACCAAGAAGGGGGATGCTGATTTGCTGTTCTGTGAGTGGTCCATATTTGCTGTGCACTGTAGTGCAGAAAAAGAAAGACACGGGGCACACTCACAAATGGGAACGTTTTCACCCACATCGCATGTGATGTTGACCCAATGAATGTACACCCGTGGCTCCTTTTGAAACCTTCGCAACCATCCTGGTGGTCCAATGGTCCATCACCTTCGCCGTGGTGAATTTCCCACTCGCCGTTTGAGTGAGGACACCCCCCTCCCCGAAAAAAAAAAAAAAAGGAAAAAAAAAGAAGACAAGGGGCGCTTTCCTTGGACTTAAGTTCAATACTTCAACCAGCACCCTTCGGAGGTTCCCTTCAAATGCCAAAAACGTCCACCTTTGAGTGGATTTCTTTGAGCTTCCTTCAAAGCCACCACAAACCTTCAAAAGAAGCGCTGGGGGCATTTCCGTGAAAGCCACCCCCGGCAAACCCTCAGAAGAGACGCCCACAGCAGCCCCAGGAGGAGAAGGCTCCGGCCCGCTTGCCGGGAGAAGGCGCTGGAGTGGGAGCTTTCTTGGAAGGAATCTGGAAGCCGGCAGTCGCGCCGAATGGTTGCACAGCAACCCCAATCTCCCTAGAGTATCCTCCTTCCAACAATTTGTGGAAGTGCTTCCCAGAAAGGATGGCAATCTTCCAAAACGTCGTGTCAGCTTGCATGATTTGCAACTCTGGCAAATAAAAGGCAAGAATTAAGCAGGATTTGCATTTCCTTTTGGCAACCGGCAGGCGAGCAGCCGGACTATTTGGAGAGAGCCCTGGGTCCGCCCACCCGCAAGGCGGCTACGGTGGTTGGGCAGCCGGTGCTTCACTGATACTTGTTTTCGACTTGTTGATCAAAAAAGAACAGCCCGCTGGCCTGAAAAGGGGACCCGACAAGTATCCCACTTGCCCAGTGGCGCGGTTTTTTCCCCCTTCTTTTGAGGAAGGGTCCCCCTGACCCAACCAACCAAAAAGGATGCCCCTGTTTTCCCCCTTGGCTGGGCATCTGAGGTATTCTTCCAAGGGGGGAGGGAGGCTTCTTCGATTTTGAGGCGCACCCATTGCCAAGATCCGTGCACGCAGGTGGAGGTCCAGGAGGAGGCCGGCGCCCGGCCACAGGCTCTCGAAATGGATCCCGAAATGGTCTGGACAATTCTACCTGCTGAAGGTCAAGGGCATCAAAAGCGCTGCATCCAGCTTTGCGCCCAAGAAGGGCATCCCTGAAATTTGAAAAGCAACACCCCGAAGTAGGTCTGCGAGACGCTTTGCATGCTTTCTTCCGCAGGAGGAGCCCCTCGAGCAGGATGGCTGGGTTCTGATCGAGCATCCAGGCGAGGAGAGCGGCGTTTTGGGGTGGCGTTTTGGGGCGGCAAGTCAGGTGGAGGTTGGCGGAAATCTACTGAGTGTTCCATTGTTCAGGTGGGAATACCCAGCTGTCCTTTCCCCACCTAGGTCTTTGGGCGTATGCACGCGTGTTTTTTTCCAGCGGCCCCATCCTGCCTGTCACATCACGTATTTGGTTCCCCTTGAGAATGGTCTCTCCGCATTTTGACATGCTCCCATTGGAAAGAGCATGTTTTTCCGCGAACTGTGACACCGCAAATTTGGGTTGGATGAGAAGGACTCAGGCTGATGCTACCTGGCAACGCGTAGCCCCCAGCAGGGGTCCGATTCTATGCAAGTTGGAGTCTCCCTCCCGAAGGTCGGCTATGCCAAGGTGAAACATCCTCATTGAGGTTTCACTCACAAATGGGCGCGAGGGCCCATTTGTTTAATTTGCTTAAATAAAATTTGTCCGACTTGGCAGCCTTAATTCGGATACCAAAGGGACCCCTTACTTGCCTACCTCGGTTTGATGATATAAGCCCATACATCAGTGTTGCCTTTTATAACCCCCCTTTATTAGCAAGGCAGCAAAGTAAATAAATACCTGCTACTTTTTGTGCTGTGCTGGGTTCTAACATCCTTTTGTTGGAACAACAACCTATAAGCGGAGCAATTCCAGTTCCCTCAGTTACAACCACGGTTTCAACCACGTTCCAAGTAGGGAGCAACTATTCTGTCCACGGAGAAGCCCCACAAATGGTAGGTGCTGGGTTTATGAGCGGTTGTGGTTATAAAGGAGACTAAAAACAAGACATGACTTAGGGGTGTTGCCATGGTCCGACGTCCCCCCGCGCAACACGAGCCGCACGTCCCCGAGCGCGCCGCGCCAGAATTTGGGCAGCTGCTGCGGGCGGTGGATCCGCGCCTCGAAGAGGGCCCCAGCGCCAAATCGGCCGCTCGGAGACATTCGGGTGAGGCGACCTTCCCCATTTGTTTCGTCGATAACCAAGACCCTTGGGCTCGGCAACCAAGACCCTTGGAGTAGCTCACCTCAAGGGAACCAACCCTCATACATGTTACCGTTCACCCAATACGCGCCCGCCTGACGCTTATTTTTTTCATGGTGTTTTACCCACCCTGAGGCCAGGAACTTGGGTGAGTGGGTGACCTAAGAAATCTGAAGTCCCAGCTCCAAGCCCCCCAGTCGAAGCCTCAGCCCAACCTGGCCGCGTGAGGCGGAGGCCTTGGGGCACCCGGTGCTGCGGGAGGTGACTTCCTCCTTGCAGATGAACACCCTCAGGACCGCGCGCTTTTTGTATCATGGCGTGTCTCAGCATAGGACCGTCGGCCCCATTTTGGGGTGGGGGTCCCTTTTTTGTTTTGTTTAAGAACTAGCTCCAACATTGCCCCCTCCGAAATTTAAAACACACACACACACCCAACAAGAATTATTATATATATATATATACATATGTAAAAAAGCTGTTGCAGTCTACCCTTTTTTGGGGTAGGTTTACAGGGGAAACTTCCGCTATGGGAGTATACCCATAACACAATGAACTGTGAGGAAGTACGAGGAGAACTTCGATGCCGCCTGGGGCATGAGGCGGGGAGGGAGAAATTGGTCTGTGGTCAAATCCTCTTTTGCCCCAAAGCCGATGCGACCTTTTGACTTTGTGGTTTCCCCCCGTTTGGTCCATTTTTTTGTCATGGCCCCCAACACTTTCGCCTCATTTATTTATGAGTCCTTTGGGCACTGAGGATCCGTTCCCTTGCTTGAGGGTTCCTTGCTTGAGGTTGGTTGTGATGGCCAACCCTTTGCTCGCTCCCTGAATTGGACTTTAAACTTTTTGGGAATACCATTTTTGTGGCAAATCAAAATTCGGATTTTTTTGGCCAGCCCACTCAGGAAGTGAGTTTATAGGAAGTTTAGGCAGCGAACGCCCTCAGAACAACACCCCGCCCCAAACAGCAAGACATGAGCGATGCGCGAAAACCAAGGACTTTTGGTTCTGCCAAGATGGATATAGCCGTTTATACAAGCCTTACTAAAAGCCGTAAACCGGGCAGAAGATCCCACCTACTAGAATAGAATAACCAGTCCTTGTGTCAGCTGCGCATATTTGCGCCATGGTCGAAACTTCTTATTAGATAATCCATCTCCACGGTTCAAACGCCCGAGGCCCATGGAAGGCCCTGTGCGGGGTGTGAAGCCGGGCGGCAAGAGCACCAAGGCGCCGGAACCAAGGCCTCAATTTGGGTGTGGCTCAAAATTGAACAGGAGGGGGCAACCCGCAGGTTTTGGTCCATATTTCCACTTACCACAGTTCCATTTTGGGCACCGGTGTTTTGAGCCACAGTCATTAGGAGTCCCAATTTCCCGGCAAATCGCTAATTAATAGTGTTTCGCGTGTCTTGCTCCGCGATGAGGTCCTTTCAACCCGCTAAGTTTGAGGGAAGACTTTCCAGGCAGGTAGAAAGTTTTTTGGGTTTTTGCTTTCATGTTTCTTGAGCGCAGATGAGGTCCTTTCAACCCTCTAAGAGTTTATGAGGGAAGGATAAGGACCTTTCAACCCTCCACCCCGTAATTATAAGGGTTCCCGTCCCCCCCCCCCCCCCCATTTTTCAGGGAATGGCTCACCCGAAATGAGCAAAGAGTGTCCGGCCTTTGCCATTTGCCAGTATCATCCCTTGTGTTTTCGCCGTTATCTTCCCAGGCTTTGGCTTTCGGGTTTTGAACGGATCTGGGGGCAGCACGTCGCCCCACTAGTGACGAGCTCAAGAGAAGCCGCAGGGATACAACTGGGTGAAGGTAGATGGCGCAGTCACCCATGGTTTCATCATCTTTCCTCATCCAAGGGAAATGTGTCACGTACTTTCACCTTGGCAGAATTGTTTCAGCCGACCCTTCCACTATTGGACCCATTTTTTGCACCTGTTTTTAGACCGGGGCGCCTGTCGCCCGGACCTCGTCTGCCAGACCGACGACAGCCTCGCCGCGTTGATGGCGTCGGAGGCGCCGGGGCAGTTCGACAAGGCTGCTGAAAAGATGGGAGCAAGTTGGACATTCCAAATCATTCAAAGTCATGACAAACCATTCCAACTCATGACATTTCCTTGTGGCAATCAGGAAGCCCTTTCCACCATGACCAAAAGGAAGCCAATATTTTTGGTGGGGAGTATAGCACAAGTGGATGATATGAGCACAAGTCACAACATGACACTGTTGAGTTGCAGTGTAGCGCTTGGCAAGACGCCAAGCTGTGGTTCAAGGCGGCCTCAACTGGATTCAATCAAAGTGACAGCCTCAAAGTTATCCTCCAGTTTCTGGTTCAAAGGTAGACCACCCTTTTTCTGACCCTCCCTCAAATGCTTCACTTGTGACCCAGAACCCTTCACTCGAAAACTCCGACCCCCCGCTCAAGCGGCTTCACCGGCGTCCAGTTTCCGAGGCCCGCCCAGAGCTTGAGGAGCCTTTGCTGATGCGGGCCTGCCGGGCTGGCAACTACGAGGCCAGCTCGGGGTGTTCACCTGGACTGCCGTGGAGCTATGTGTAACTTGTCCCCAATGGTCATCCCATGACCTGTTGATCAACCTCTTTTGGTTTCTTGCGTTATGAATTACCTTCTATACAGCATGAAGTCACTGCGACAGATGGGCCCAAGCACCATGAGAACAGGGTTGTGGAGGGACTTTTGAGCCAAGTTCATGGCCACAAGGGAACATGGTGTGCAATGATTTCGCCCGCTCAGACATGGCATTCAAACATCACGTGTGTTGGGCCATTTCCAGGGGTCTCGTTCACAAACGCGTGGCATTTGGCCACCTCTAGATTCGTTTCTCAGCCCCACAACCAGATTCAAGTGGCGCAATCCGATTTGAAGTGTTGCTCCAAGATAGACAGCACCCGAGATTGGCGCTTCTCCTTGATTTTCCGTTCAAACAATCCCACCAAGGTGCACCCTCAAAACAAAAACACCATTCACTCAATCGCGCGAATATTGTTTTGGTGGTTGATGTACAAGGGCAACATATCAAGCCCCAAGCATGTGCCGTGGCCTGGGGTAGATACCATAGATACCCTTGATATATGCACATACACCGACAAACCCTTGACATGGTTTATAAACTTTCCTGAAAGTTTACAAACTCTTCGACTCAACAGACTTGTCACCCACACAACATTATGCAACAACAGCACACTTCTTGCGTATACGTGCTCACACCTCCTGTCTTTCAAATAAGAGGACTTTGTACATTTTGAAGTGGAAAGGTAGGCCCTGCGGGGGGGGGGGAGCATATAAATATACATATTATACCTGTGTACATATATATATATATATATATAGATATACGCACGTCTTTGAAGACCTTTCACCATGTATGCCAAATGTCCGGCAATATTCATGTGGTACATATATCAGGGCTAGCCAAGGCATCAAGGGGGGAGTCGATGCGCTCGATGTACACGAGCCCCAAGCTCCAATTTCGTTTCGGAGCCATAGCAACAGCCATAGACAGCTTATGCCCGTAATGGTTCTTAATGGTCGCTAATACTAGTCACCAGTCACTGAGTCACTGGCAGTCACGCTTTTCGCATGCAGCGGTGAAGCCTCTCGCTATGCCTCTGAACCCGTCTTTCGAGAGTTCGAAATTTGGACGGGTTCAACGGGCAACCTAAAGAAAGCCACATGTTGCCCCAGCTGAAGGGCCCATGTCGATAGGCCCAGAGAAGCTCTGTGGTGGGTTTGGCTTGGCGGGGCTGTTGGGGGTTTGTCAAAGACTTCCACTGACCCCCAAACCAACCCCCAAAGAAGAAATTTGACAGGAAAGCCTTATTTGGAGCTTACATACACCTAATTTGCCCTTGATTTGTGTTTCTTATCCTCAAGGGGTATGTTCCAGGGTCAGGTGGGGTCCGCGTCCCTTTTGGCCCGAGGCAGCGCGGGCGCTGCTGTTTCGGGGCGCGGATGCCAACGCCTGCGACGTGCTGGGGGAAACCGCGCTGGTGGAGGCGTTTGGCGTCTGGCGGATGGGGTGTGGGGGGGGGGGGGACCATGGCTTCCCCAAACATCTGGGGGTAACTTCCCCACTCTTTCTAGGCATCCTTCTTTCTAGAAAACCACCAACATCCCGCAGGAAAAGGGCAGGTTTTTGAAAAGAACGATGGCTGAACAGAACGGGGAATCAACCCCTAGAAAACAGAGCTGGCCAAGTGGCGGAAACACTCCGTCAGTCTTGCAAGACAGATCCAACCAGGCCCAAACATGTTTATCTGATCCCACCCACCCCCACCCACACCCACCTACCCATTCACCCATTCACCCACCCCCCCACCCACCCATTTACCCCCCCCGTCCACCCCCACCTGCCACCTATATCTGCCTCTTGCCAGACGTTCTCCAAACCGCCGGTTCGCTTCGAATCGGTTTCACCGCTTCCAGGCCGCCTCCTCCTCACGGGCCGACCTGGTGGCAATGCTGTTGCTCCGGAAGGCCGTCCGAGACACGTCCCCGTGGTTTGACACGGCCCCTGGGGAACCCATTTGGGTTTGTCTCTTCGGGGAAGCCTCAAAATGCGTGGGTGCGGTTTCCTAATTAAAGGCTTCCCTTGAAGCCAAATTTCAGAAAGGGCAGCCTCAAAAAGAACTGAATTGTAAGGGCTCAAAAAGTAGTTGGTGGAGAAGGGATAGAAATCATGCCTATGTCACACTCCCTGTTCTGGGCTGTGCAAATGGACAGTTTGGGCAATCAACTCCAAATGTGTTTGTTCAACCCATGTAGGGTCACTGACGTAGTCGATTCTTGGCTACTTGAGACGAAATGGCCACGAATGTACAAGAGCCCTGGATTTCTGCCAGGAGCTAAGTGTCACTTCCCAAGTTTCGGTACTCGGGACTCTGGTTTTCCTGCAAAATGTCGGCCCCAGATCAACCCCCGGTTTATTAAGGGTGTCCCCTGGTGGAGGCCCTGTATTAATGAGGAGGGTTTTCGTACTCCGGGGTCAACATTAGGTAACCTACGGAGAATAAGTTTCGTGAGCGAACAGTTTGGCTGTGCTTTGCCAATCCATTGAGGAAGAGAGATGTTCTTTCCAAGTTGCGGGGCTCGGAGTTTTGTGCCCATGAAAGTTTGTTAGATCCATCCATGCCCCCAAACCGCAAGGGAAAACACCATAGACTCAAAGGTTGCATATTAACAAATCATTTGATATATGCAGCGTTCAACTTATGACATGTTTCCCCTGCATGGTCTTTGACCCATTTTGTTCTGGGCATTTAGGCCTTCGGCCGAGTCTCGGCTTACCAGGCTGACCCTCTGCGTGCATCCTCGGGGGGCTACACCTCGTTGCTGTCCATGGCGGAGGCGCTGCAGCCAGTGTGCTTGGCCGCGTGCAGAAGGAAAGACACAGCAAGCCCCACTTAAGGGCTTGATACCCCCCATAGCGTGCGCTTTTCAGGATTGTTTCAAGGGAAGGAAAACCACCGTTTCCAGGACAGGGTTCTGTTTACAGCGAGGTCACCTGAGATGAAACGAGCTCACCATGAAGGTCCTTGCTTGCGGATCCCCTTGTCAGTTTGGGAACAGTAGCAGCTTCCCTCAGTGGGTGGTACTCACGTACACTCTGCAAGAACATGGTGTGCAAATCCAACTGCAAACCAATCCCGCGGTTTTAAATGGAAACTACAAGGAACACCACAATTTTGGTGTCCCTTTAAAAGACAGCGGGCTTAACCCAGATCTAAAGTGGCGGGAGACAAGTCAATTCAGATGGTGTTCTTCTTCTACCGTCACTGGGCAACTGGCCACAAGGCTGCAAAATTGATATGCGTGCGGGCCATTTGCTTTCCTGCTCCACACTGCAAGCCACATGTCTACCATTCTGGCAGAGTCTTGTTTTAGCAGCTTGAATAGCTGTGTCTTTAGAGCCCATTTTCCCAAGGGTGACGCATTCAATGGGTTCGAGCTAAATCGGTTCTTTTTGGGTGCTACACACACCACATTACCCTTCGGTGCAAGCAATCGGAACCCGTGCCTTAGAATTGTGTGCCCCCCCTTCTCCTCTGGTCATTTTGGAGCCCTTGCTTCAGCACCAATCCAAATGGGGTTGTCTTTTTTTGCATGAGGGAAACCACAAATTGTGGGGGGGGTCTCCTGCTTAGACCAAACCCAAATAATCAAACAAGTGCAGGCTCAAGACATTTATTGGCTGGTTGCCTCTAGGTCACATACCAAACTTAGGGAAAACCCATGTATTCTAGTGAGGGTTGGGAAAGTCGGTGGGAAATTCCACCCCGATTTGGGGGCTCAACCAAAAAATCCTCGGGGGAACTGTTCCGCGTTTGGGTGGGAGACAAGTCGATTCAGATGGCTCCTTCTTCTGCCGTCACTGGGCAACTGGATAAAAACCAAACCACAAGGCCGGAAAGTTGATATGCGGGCATTTTGCGGTCCATACTGTAAGCCACATGTCTACCATTGTGGCAGAGTCTGTTTCTAGCACCTTGAATAGGAGTGTCTTTTGAGCCCATTCCCGCAATCAGGGTGACCCATTCAACAGGTTAAAGCTAACGCGCACACACACAAACACAAAACGGAACCCATGTGATAGAACCCATGAACCTGTCCTCTGAAATTGAACCCCTTCTTTTTGAGCTTATTTGGAAACCCTTGCCTCGCCGATCCAACTAGGGTTGTCTTTTCTTGGGAACCTCCGTTTAGTTGTAAGAGAGGGAACCACAAATTGTTGGGGTTCCCCTGCTTGGCGCCAAGCCCAAAAAATCAAGCAAGTGCAGGCTCAAGACAACTACTGGCTATGCGCCTCTTGGTCACATGCCTCGTGTGGAGGGTGCCCTCTTGGGGCTTTTTTCTTAAAGTAAACCCAGGGGAAGCCCATATTTTCTACCGGAGTTCCAATTTTAGGAAGTCAATGGAGAACCCAGCTTTCCGATTCCAACCCCCGATCTGGGGTTTCAACAGATGTTAATGTCTCCTCCAAAACTATGTGATATTTCCGGGCGGACTACATATGAAACAGAACCAGGCAGTATTATTGTCTATCTACCCACTCTCCCACTAGCATGGCACCTGAACGGGGGTCCCTCCAATAGGAGTTTGATCTTTCAGGTGCCCTCCCACAGGTGCCATGTTACTTGGAGGGAGGGTATCTCCAAAGGTGGGCCAAGGGCAACCTTGCGGGGCTCAACCGGCGCGCCAGGACGCCCCCTGCCGCGCGCTGATCCAACACTGGCAGGAGGGGTCCTCTTCGGAGCCCGATTTGCAGGCCCCGGCCTTGAGGGCTTTTCGGTGCTTGGGTGTCTCTGGGGTTGTGTTCTCATGGCGTGTTTATATTGTGTCTGTCTGTGTTTGTATCTTCTAACATGTTGGAGAGTTCCCCATTGAGCCGCACCCGAAACCCCTGTTGACATTTTGTTAGATGGTTCTACTAGCTGGTCTAGTTGGGGTTATAGCAAGGCCGACAGAAACCTGTACAACCATAATCTTAGAACCAAAAGTCAACTGGTTTTGGGGCGCTGCCCAGCTAGCTTGTGGTCACAACCTCGCCGGGAATTTCGGGAGTAATTCATCCTGGCTGCGGTCTGTTCGTTGTTTGGTTTTCTTCGGCCCCGCTCAAACAAATCTTGTGGCTTTGCGTGGTGGTTTGGGGGTTTGCACTTGGATGAATCCCAACGCAACTGAGGTTTGAATAAGGCAAACTCGTGTGTGTGTGTGCAGTGTCATATTGCGCACCGTTGCTCCGAACCTTAAGACAATGACCAAACCATAAGGCTAGACCATTGTGACTATTCGGTCGAATCGGAGCACCCCCTTTCCGCCTTGTACAGCCCCCTTTGTGCAACCGTTTATGTCTACAGCTTGCCTTTAGAGGGTTTCCTTCTGATTTTCCTTTGGGGTCTATTCCCCTGTCTGCCCCGCCTGGCATCACCCTAAAACTGGTTTCTCACTAAGGTAGTATGAGGACTGGTCGAGGGTTCTGTTGGGGACAGTGAACATCACTCCCTTTCCGCGGAGAGCGACTAACAAATGGCGGCGCAGGCTGCACTATGGCAACTGGACCCTCGAGATGCCGTGGCGGTATGCAACCACCTTGGCGTGGATATGGCGCAGGACGTCCATGGGGTCTCTTTTCATAATATATCGTTTTTGCCGTTTCGATAGGGGGGGAATTGGGGAATGCCACCTATAGCAGTTCCCTATACATGGGGATCCGGGGTTTATTCCCAAAAAAAGCCTTCTGCTCAGAACCAGAAAGTGTTGCAGCTGAAAGGTCGTTATTTGTTTGGGACCAAAAGCTGAGGTATATAGCAAAGGTTGATCCCGTTTGGGCCACTTTGGACTCACGAGCTTACCAAGCGATTCCACCCATGGTCAAAGCTCTTATCCCACAGTGAGGAACCTCCGGCGCCGGCACCGGCCGCCGTGCCTGCCACGCCTGCCACGCCTGCCGCACCAGCCGCGCCGGTGGCTGCGCCGGTTCAGGCCTGGCCGAAACCGCAAAACGCCGGGCCCGTTTTCACCGGTTCGCAGAAACGGGTTCCGATCGGCACCGCAGGAGGGTGGCATTTGAAATGAATCCCTTTTTGTTTGTTCTCGTTGAACACCCAATGTGTGACCGACGGAAAGATCCAGGGCACTAGGGTCCAACTTTCTCTCAATGAGCAATCCTGCACACCCTCAAGAGAGAAACATGGTCACGAACTAAGCATATACAATCAAACAACAACTAAGACTGAGCAGCTTTCATGAACGAACCAACACAACATGTGTGCACCTTATGGAACCTCACGCAAAATTCCTAGGAATGGGACCAGTTCCCAGGCCTGTTGCATGTTTAATACGTGGAAGGCAATTCACCTGCCGTCATGGCGAGCTCACTTGGGGGTAAAACAAGCTCGCAGTAGTTTTCCAAAAGCTGCAGATGGTTGGGTGTCTTGATGTGGTGTCTCCATGTCAGTCTCAGTTTGTTGTTCAATTTGCCTACGACTGCCACGGGAATCTCGGAACTTCCCCGAGACCATCTCGGCAGGCGCCGGAGCCATCCGTGCCAGAGGTGTTCCTTGGCCCGAAACCGCCGCAGTCGGGCCAGGCTTCGGTTGTCAGATAGGGGACTTGCACCCCGAAACCAGTGGCTTCCTTTTTCGGTTTCCCTCAGAAAAAGGACCACCCGCAAAGGGGTGCCCCTCCAGGAGAGGTCTTGTGAACCCCTAAAATGGCAACCGTGTCCCTTTGGTTTCAACCCCAGCAGGGTACCAACACGGAAAAAAGGCAAAAACATGTAGTTTGGGGGGAACGCACCTGCCATCCCAGGCCTTCTTGCCCGCCGACACGGCACCGGGTGGTGTACAAGAAGGCGAGGCTGTTTTGGGGGAGCGCGACGCGGAAGGCGAGCTGGCAAGCTGTGAACTTTGGCTTGGTGGGGTGAATGACTTTGGCAAGTATATTTTGCCGCTTGGTGCGGTGAATGAGTCCAACATTTGGTCAGACGGCTAAAAAAGTTCAATCTTTTCCTTACTGGTGAGTAGCAATGTGGGAAAGACCCACAACGTTGCGACTCCAGACTAGTGCAAAATTTCTAGATTGAAAGAAGCTGAACAAAGAGCAGGCCGGGTGGGTTTGTCTCCAAACTGTCCGGCTGGAAAACATGCAGCTTCACTGAACGGGAATGTACTTGCGATGCGCAAGCACCCTCAAACCTTCTACGCGCCCCCTTGAATACCAGCTGCTTGCACCGAACTCTGGGTTTTCCAAAGAAACCCACAAAAAAGTTGCGGGTTTGGAGCCTCCAAGCAATACAAAATGACTCACTGCCGGACCACCTGGCAAATCCCCGCGAATCGGACCACACAATTTTAGTTTAGCCATGGAAAAGATCGACACCGTGGTTGTGGAGAATTGGGGGGGGGGGGGGGCGGGAGCGTTTGTTCTCAGAGCTCAAAATCACACAGCTCACCAACAAATGTGTGTTTTGTTTCTTTAAGTGAACAGGATACCCGCCAAAACAATTATTCTGCGCAACCCGCGCAATGAGCCCCTCACCTTTCCATGTCCCCTTCGCAGGTTGCGGTGCGGGAGCACCCGGACACCAAGGCTAGGAGCTTGCGAACCAAGCGCCAAGGCTGGGGGCCCTTTGGGTTGGTTGAAACATCACCATTGGACCATGAAAGGGCGCCCTCTGAGAGGTGGTATGCATTGGCTCTGCAGTTATGGCAGGGTGAGATGTAAAACGAGCCACTACGCACGCATGCGCGTCACTGTTCTTAGGAGGTGTGCTGGTTGTTTGTTCAGTTTTTTTGTTCAGTGGCGCTGCACAAAACAAACGCACCTGCGTCGTTGTTTTGAGACTTAAACTGGGAGATGTGCTGTTTTTTTTCCGACTAAACCAACCCCAGAAAAGAGTTTACAAAACAACCAAAGACGCACCTGTGCCCCTGAAATGGGGGGGGGGGTATCTCAAAATAGTCCCCTAGCAGGGTTGATGTCCAATCGGTTTCCCTTGACATGCCCAAAAGCCAGGCGACCTGGTGGACATGTTCGAGTGGGACGCGTCCCAGCGCTGGCGCCGCGTCCAGGTGCAAGCGGAAGGCCTCCTAGGGCGGGTGGGTGTGCAGGCGTGCGTGCCTGCGTGCCTGCGTGCCTGCGTGCCTGCGTGCCTGCGTGGGTGGGTGGGTGGGTTGTTGTTTGTTTGTTTGTTTGTTTGTTTGTTTGTTTCTTTTGTCTGTGGTGCACTTGTTGTTGTTTTGTTGCTTGTTTGTTTGTTTGTTTGTTTGTTTGTTTTGTGTTTTCGGAGGGTACCCTTTCTAGGTTGGTTCGAAAGAGAACCAAAAGGAGAGTCGGCATTTATTTGGGTTCTCAATGGACAATGACCCTTTGTAAATGGAGGCGTAGTTGGTTGCATGTTTAAAACACCGGGCGACCTGACCATGGGTTGCCTCATTTGCGTGCACGGGGAACGCAACATCCATCGTTTTAGATTGTTTCTGGGATTTCAGGATTAGTCAACTGCCTATTTTCTATCAAGCTCCCATGATGCACGTCCTTTGGGGAACCGGATCAAAAGACTTTTCTGTGAGGCCGTCCTTTCAAGGGCTGCCTGGTGGTTTCTTTGCTCGCCTTGGGGAGGGTGACGCCTTGTTTCCCCCTCCCAAAACGCGGACTCGCTTGTTTCATTATGATTTGTTCATGGGCAATGGGCGGGCGGCAACGTGCCATGAAGCTTGGCCGTTTGGAACGCCTCTTTGGTAACGTTTGGGTGACCCCGTCTAAAGGGGCCCGAAACCTGGGTCAATTAGATTTGGGTGTGTGCTGTGGTTTCCTTCAGCGTCCATAGCTGCCCTCAACACGACAATCTTGGCGCCTTCTCGCCAGCAACCTCGAAGGGACATGAGAACATTGGATGGTCCCCCCGGCTTGGAAATGGGGTGGTCCTTCCATGTCCTCCAAACTACTCACTTCTCCAGTCTGCTTTTGCGGAAGACCATTTTGATGGTCGACCAATTATTTTGGCTTTTCTGTGCCAATCCACTCAAGAAGTGATTTCAGCACTTTCGTTCAGGTGGAGGGAATTTTCAGGGGCCGCCTGTGTTTGCCCAAACCAACAGTAGACCAGCATAATGTTTAATGGCCTGCGGCCTGGTTCCGCCGCCCCCCCACACAATTTCGGCCCGGGACGAGAGAAAGCACGCGTGCACAGACTCTGTCGCGGACACGAAGACAGACGCAGATGCGTAGACAGACACAGACAGAGCCAGACAGAGACAAATAGACACACACACACAGACACGCAGGGGGGGACACGAAGACGGACGCAGATACGTAGACAGACACAGACAGACACAAAGAGACAGAGACAGACACGCAGGGGGTCTTCGCGGACACGAAGACAGACGCAGATACGTAGACAGACATAGACAGTCACAGGGGGAGGGGGGGGCGGCGGAGGGGTGGGGGAAGACTACCCGAAGCCTAAGGGAAGAAGCCCGAAAACACAGGACACGCGATTGAGTCCTAACGCGCGTTGTTTGGTCCCGAAACACCATCGGAAGACTAGGAGAAGCAGCAGGAAGACTACGGGAAGAAGCCGACAGACTAAGGAAGATTACGGGAAGAAGCCGGAAGACTACAGAAGACTACGAGAAGAAGCCGGAGGACTACGGAAGATTGCGGAAGACTACGGAAAACGCGGAAGAAGGGGGGGGGAGGAGGGAAGGGGGGGGGAGGGGGGGGAGGGAGGGAGGGGGGAGGGGGGCGGGGAGGGGAGGGGGAGAGGGGGGGGGCCCTGCTCTCCCGCAAAGCTGCCGTACAGGGGGTCGGCCTCGGACATGCACACCGCCGTGCCGAGCCGGTACCGGCAGGTGAAGGGGAGGGGGGGGGGGGGGAGGGGGGGCCGGAATCCAGAGATCCAGAAATCCAGAAATCCAGAGATCCAGAAATCCAGAGATCCAGAAATCCAGAGATCCAGAGATCCAGAAATCCAGAGATCCAGAGATCCAGAAATCCAGAGATCCAGAAATCCAGAAATCCAGAAATCCAGAAATCCAGCCGACGTAGAAACCAGCCCCAAGAGCCGCCCCAAGGGACATATATATATATATATATACATAATCATATTCACATTCAACTTACAGAAAGCATATCAACAAAAGCAACACAGAACACACCGCCCCCATGCCGAAAGCATGGTCCATTCTGGACCAGGCATGGGGTCGGCGGATTGTCAGTGACTCAAGACGGATTCCGACGCTGGGAGGCGCCAATGGCGATCTGTGCACCATGGATGGACGCCTGGCTGAGATCGGGGTGGGGTTTGCTGGGGCGTTTGAAAGATGTACAATCAATTTTGCATGTTGGTTTCAAAGGATGCAGCAAATGCATGTCAACTATGTTCAATATCCTGTTCAACCGTTACATGATTGAAATGAATCATATTATACATGCTGCGGTCTGCTTCAACTCTAAGATCCATTTGCAGGAGTTCCCAAAATCGCCAAGTGCCGGATATCACCCCACAATTGGCAGAGCCTCTCCTTTTTCGCGTGCGATTTCGTTTGGCGGAGGATGGATGCTTCTGCACTCCGAAGAGATCGGGCCCTTGCTGGAGGCTGGCGGATTACCCCGCTGATAAGGTCGCAACTTCCATGGAACCCAGCCAACCCCGCCGACTTTTTTCTGCCTTGTTGGCAAAGTGATTCCGCAAGGCCTCGTGGAACTTGTTGACCAGCCAATTCCGCCAACCAGGTGGAAGAAGATGCTCCTGCCTCTGACAGCGACGACGACCCAGGGGCTGGCTGAGAGTTAGGTCATCGGATCCTTCGATCAGTTCTCGACCGCAGCGCAGAAAAAGACACTTGCATCCAAAGTAGGGGCCCCTCCAAACGCTGGCCTCGAAAAGATGAGCGACAAGAGTGTAGTTAGACAATTTGTCCGGGTTTTCTTCTGTTTTCTCTTCGCCGGGGACCAAGTGTTGGTTGGTTTTACCGACCTTTAAATGAAGGAACTACCCCGGAAGCTTTTTTGACCACTCGACCTGGGCAAATGTGAATCCCTTCAGGCTGAAGGATCTGGAGTTTTCTGGGGCTTTAGGTTGGCACCTCACCCAGCTAGTTTTTTCCATGCCCCGCGCATGCGCGCGATTCCTGCGGCGAGGACTAGCGAGTTTGGAGGCGCAGGACGGACGCGGAGAATTGGGAGAGGGCCGTCTCCGCGCGGTGAACCCGTTTTTGCATGGTGGATAGTTTTAGAAGGACTCCAGCCAGGGGTTGTCTCAAAGTAGGATCTTCAGTCCACACAAACCTGCTGGTGAGTTTCATGGCTACTGTGGTTGTTCTTGCTGGGAATGGAAGAGGAAACCAGTCGCCCAGTGAGGCGTTCAGTGAGACAAACTCAACTTGCGATGGGGTCCAAAGACCTTTATAGGGTTTCTTGGGATCGTCATGGACGCTTCAGGACAATTCCGAGGCCGGTCAAAGCTTCGAAGATGGAGGTGCTGTTGAGACAAACCAATGTCATCCTCGATGGAAGACCCTCGAGAGCCTGTGAATGTCTGGCCCAGTGGATCCATTTACCTGTTTTGTAGAGAACCACGGGATCCAGCCTTCAAAACCGAAAGGATAGATAGCTAATTATAATTACCTACTATACGGGTATCTAGCATGCACGGAGTGGGGTAGAGAGTGAGTGGATCAAGGCTTCGCGTCGCGTTTCAGAGTTGTGGTTAGCGCAGATGCGGTTTGCAAATGCAGACGACAGCACCACAGTTGTTTGGTGCAAACGCAAAAACAAATCCCTGCAACGATCCAATCGAAGGGCTGCGAACTGGGAACATGGAAGTTACTGCAAGTTGTAAGTGGCCCTCACTACGTTTGGTCAGAGTCCTGATGTTCATTTGTGGATTTCCTTTGGTGTCCCTTTGAACACAAACACATGGACACACTCATATGCCTTCCTGATTTTCTTTGGTGCTTCCTTCAAAAGGTGATCCTACCAGCAAGACTTGCTCGAAGGACTGTCTGCCAATGCGAAGCAATGTCGGACTGATTTGCACTGCGCTACCAGGGGCTGTTGGCTTCCGCTGAAAGCGGAAGAGCACCTGGTTTCCGAGATAACTACTCAATTTCCAACGGCGCGCTTGCTCCGTTTGTTGGGATGGGTTTCCTTCGGAGTGGATTCTAAGAGGGTGCCTTTTTTAGCGTGGCCACTGGCGAGTTACTATAGCACTGACATGTGGTGGACGGAGTTTTGGGAGCACAGGAGGTGTTGGTGCAAAAACGGGTTGCGCAAACAACAAGAAACGGAGGGGGGGTCCTTGTTGGGGGCCCCCATTGCGGTGTCATTAAAACGCGAAACAAAACAACAAACACACACGCACATACGCACACACACAGGGGTCTCAACCTGTCACTCAAAAGCGAGCAGGATCACATTTCCGAAATCGGTATCATGATTGTGTCAAAGAAGTTCCAGCGATCGGAAACGGGCCTGCCACTGCGACTGCCAAAGACTGGCAGTCCAGACGTCTCCGAACTCGTTGGGGGTTGGTTCAAGAGGTCTTGGCAAAAAGCCTCAGGATCTGTCTGAAGGCCCCAGCCCTCGTTGGAGTCGTTGCCTGTAGCTTCACCGGGTTTCACCGGCATGTGCCGAGTCCTCAACCACTTTTCCTAGCTGGATGCCGTGTTCCACGAGCTCCGTGCCAGTGGACTTGGCTTAGACAGGCTGCGGGGCCTGCGGTGCAAAAGATCGACGCTGCAAACCAGGACGTTCTGCAGGAAGTTAGCCCAAACCCCTACTTTTTGCTGAGCATTGGCCCAACTCCCTGTAGGAATTTCCGTGGTTTCCACGAGACGTGCCTATGCGCGATTCGTTGGTGAATGACTTGCCCAAAGAGAATCCACCGGATCTGGCCTGTTAAAGTGTTCCGGTGTTGGTCGTTTTCTGGCGCTGGTTTGCAACAGGTCCACCTTGCGTTTCAAAGTCCTTTGGGCAAGTGTGACTTCACCCGCATGCGCGCGCCCATGTGTGCTGAGTGCTTTTGCCGCTCGTATGACGTCCTTGTGCAGGCTGTGGGCTCTCATCAGTGCGAAGCTCAAATATCAAGAGAGAAGCCTCGGAACCCCTGCCAGCCTCCCCCCCCAAAAAGAGGAAGAGGAAAGATTCCTGCGAACCCTTTCCAGGGAGTTGGCTCTTGGGGCCTTTGATGCTAAAGGTTTCACTAGCCCGAATACGATCAGTCCCAGGACCGAGAGCAAGATCGCCCCGCAAACAACTGACTAGCACTGCGGGATTCATGGTCAAACATGAATTTGCAGGGTTTCAGAGGGTCTTTGTTTTTTGAGGGTAATAAAAAGATAATGGAAGGGAAACCAACTGGGAAACCAAAAGGAACACTGGCCTTGAATCGGGGCCTAAGGCACCTGCTGGTGAGTTCCATGTGGGTGATTTGTTTGACACATACTCAGATCTGAGGCCTTCAACCATTGCCTGAACTACTGGACGCTGAACACCGAGGGCGACGCCTGATTCCCCAGGATGCTTTTCAACTTTTCGCGGCGTCCATGGCTCCTCTTGGGAACGCAAGACGCGACTGTCCTAACATGCTGGCTTGGGAAGACTCATGGTTGGTTGTAAAGCAACAAACCCAGTCTTGTGTTTTGCCAACCAATTCAGAGAGTGAGGCAAGTGTCTCGGATTTTGCCAGGGTCCGTTTGCTGGGGCTGACATGTGAGTCTGCGGATTCTGTTGTTCTTCGGTGAGTGACCAAGACGCACTTTACGAAATGCCTTGCAGAGAAAACACACCCATACCCAAAAAGCTAACACATGCCAACACCAACTCTAGCTATGTGCATAGCAGCGCAAGCCGGATGTCATGAATGTGTCTCTTCACAGACAAATGTCAAATTTCACCCCCGACCTCAAAAGGCATGTTCTGCCTGTACCGGATTAGTTGGGTCGTTTCAGATCAGATGTGACCAGAAGTTGGCTCATAGTAGCTGTTCTGATTGATGGAGTTTGTCAATCAAGTTCTCTTACACTGCCAGAAGGAGTATGTCGTGGATGGCAATGCAATGTCTCAACACAGGCAAGGGCTTGCGCAGATACTGCCATAGTCAGATGTGCAGATGCAGCCACAGTTAAATGCTCAATCTCAGGGGTGCCTGAAAATGTACAAGACTCGACCGCATTGCAAATACCGCAAAATTCTACTGGAGGGAGTTTTGGTTGTTTTGGTGGGTACCAACAAACATAATATGTGTACAGGTTGGTCTGTTTCGAAGTAGGGAACCCTTTGTCGGATGTGTTCAATTGAAGGAAAATCAAAGTTCCTAGTCTGAAGAAACGCCTCATTTACAGTCATCCGACCCATGTGGAACGAACTCATGAAATCCCGCTTCTTTCCAAGAGCCGCCTTTGTCGGTACATATGATCTGTCTACATCCCTGACAAGAAGGGCATTTGGAATGGAACTTGTTGTTTGGGAGAATGAGCGCTTTCTATTTGACGCCCCAAGTTGCACAAGTGGTTGGTGAAAGGGGAGCAACAACCACATTTGTGTGCGTGTGGTGTTTTCTCCCCCTTTGGCGGGAAACGAACAGGCCAATCGCCATTTTGGGGTCCCCCAGAAAAGACGCGCAGCCCGTTTCGTCCGACTTGGACCCCTCGACTCGCTGTCGAGTCGCCGTCGGATGTCGGAGGCGGCGGACTTCCTGGGTAGCCCGCAGGACAGCTTCGTCACCCCACAGGTGCGCGCCCAAGCCGGAGTTTGGGGAACCAACCAAAAACTGGTGTCCTTTTCGGTTTCCCCTTTAAAGCAAGCAAGGTTGCCCACAAGAAAGGGGCACACCCGCCTTTTAAGAGCCAGAACCCCCAAAGATGGCATGTAATTACCGCACTCTGTTCTGTGAGAAGGGAATATGCTGTCAGCTCCTGGCGAGCGGCTGCAACATGAAACCTTGAAACGGATTCCTAAGGTGGCATCCTCCTAATTGCATGGCTCCAAAGCCCCTGGATGATTGTGCCCCTCCAACCCAGCGCGAGATGTTGCCAAGATCCTATGCAATACACGGGTCACAGAAGCCATAGTGTTGGGCCAACTCAGCGAGCTCACCGAGAGGGCTGAGAAGGGTCGCACATGAAGGTCCGTGGCCTCTCGTCTCCGTTTCAATCGGCTCCAGAAGAAAGGTTCACGTCCAAAGACGTCGCCTTTGTCAGACCCTTGGATTCGGGCAGACCCCTTTTGGGTGAGTCTGGGCTTTTGGTTTTACCAGGTCCGCGTGTGGTTGTCGCTCGCTAGTTCCTTTTGGATTCTATTTCAGGGAGCCCCAAACGGGTTCTAGTAAATGAGTTCCGGCCGCTTGCACCAAAAGAGACTATGTATTGTGCTGTACTTGGACTCCCCCATGGTCGGGGCTTCATATTGGCTTTGTTTCAAAAAGGATCCTATTTCGGACACACGGCCATTTGTAAATAATCAGAATCCCGGCTTCCCGAATCCAGTGTCTTATATACATCGTGATCAACGTTTGTGTGGCTGTAGTGTTCTGAATGGACTGTGTTTTGATTGTCCTTTTGATCCACAGATTTGGATTGGAGGCGGGGGTGTTAAATCTCTGGTTCTTGTGGAGGGTCCACCCCTTCCTTCCGACCAATCCATATCACCAATTAGAAGGAGGCTGAACACAGGATGCTTTGACTGTCCTGTCAAAGCTTGCCTAATCACAGTCAAGCCAGGAGGTCAGGTCGATTTCTCCTCGAGTCTTAGTTGAGCTGGCTTCCCTTTGTAGGCTGCGTGGAATCACTGGAATCTGCCATTCCACGGGTATCCCACCCACATCTTCAAGAGACGCCTCTCGCCAATATCGTGCGCACTGTTCACCTAGGCCGGCTCTGGGAAGAAGTGGGAAGCAGGCGCGGGTCGGGAGAAGCTGGAAGCCTCGCAGTTGTGTCTCCAAAAGAGTGGGTTCTCCAAAATGAGCTTCGAATTTCAACAACCAGAACCGCACCAAAACAGAATATGTTACAACCACTTGTCTGTGCCATGGGCGACTTTATCAGTGTATTAGTTGTGGGTTCCCAGGATTGGCTGAAACGCTTTCGCTGGTCCAAAAATAGTCGTGTATGAGTTCAGAGGTGGGACCCTTTGTTGGACATCACGGGGATTTGTCTCTACGATTTGGGAGCGTTTGCCCTATTGAAAGTCTTAGCCATGTCTGTTTATATATATATATATATACAAAAAGAAAGGTTTTTCTTGTTTCTTAAAGGCAACCCACTAAAATGATGGACTTCCTTTTGGTGTCCCTTTCAAATGTTCCCAAAAGGGGTAGCCCCACCAAAATGACACCGTCCCATCGTCATCTCTTTGCTCTTGCCCAGCATGCTTGGCAGGGCTCACACGCCGGCTCTTTTGCCCAGTTGGCCAACTGCCACCCGAATAGAACCCTGATGACTCTAGCCCAGACATAGGGGCAAATGGTTTCGAGCTGGGCTATCCTGTGTTTGTCTTGATACTTGGGGATGGGATGCCCACATGCCTGGCCCCCACGCCAAGAGAGACACGCGGGATCGCCCGAGATCAGGAGACGAGCGCTTCAAGGTGGACGACCCCAACCCCTAGAGGAGCTGCATGAAGCCGATGCCTTGAGGAAACCGCATGGCGCCAGTTGGAAAGTTTGACAGGGAAGGTTAAAAAAGCTAGGTCCCCCAGTAGTGCCCTTTTACACTTTTTTTGGGGAGGGTTCCCCCACTAAAATAGACTACAGAAAAAAGGGTACCCTTATTCTAATCTCTCTACTGGAGGACCTAGTTCATGGAAGGCCATACATAGTGACTTACGAATGCCACCACTGCAATACACAAACATGATGCCACATCTATGGCATGCTTTGGGCCAGCGTATGGCATGCTGCATGGCAAACTTGTGCACGACCGATCTTGAGCAAAGCACGGACGTTGTCAGGGCTAGTCGGACAGCATTGTAGGCGTTAGGCTGGTTGCAATTGCAGGCACGTTTGCCCGTAGGCTGATTTATTTCATGCTGACTGTTCGCCCAAATGTGTCTGCTCAATCGAGCTTACTTGATGGTTCCCAGCCAGCTCTTTAGCTTTTGAGGTCTTTAGGGTTTGGGGGGGGTCCATTTAACCGAGCAAATCTTTCGAAAGCATCTCAGCAGCTGGTGGTCGCTGCCGCCCAAATGTGGCGCGATGTGTTGTCTTTAGAGCGTTTTGGGGTGCATATCAAAGGGATCAATATCAGAGGCAGGAACTCAGAGTTTATGAAAATTAATCCATGAATACGCATGAAACAATAAGATATCTAGTCTTGTTGTCAAAAAGGCAACAGGGGGAAGGCGCCATCAAACAATGATGCCTTAAAGTAGTTGTTGGATTGATTGATAATATTTCAGTTTTTGTTTTAGAATTATGCAGACATGTTGACATGTTGTTTCTAAGGTTTAATAATGTTTGGTATTTTTCAGAATTTTCAAGAATTGTGTTTCACATTTTTCCGAATTATTGCGAGTGTGTTTGCACCTTTTGGCAATGATTTGGAGTATTTCAGGATTTGTTGTTAGTTTTCAGAATATGTTGGCATTCTTGTGAAGTTTCTGGCGTGTTTTGGTAATCTGGAATAGTTTCTGGAAGGTTTCAGGATTTGTTGCCATATTTGGGGGGTGTTAGTGGCGCCAAGCTAGTAGGCCAAGTGTGACATTGCAGGCATTAGTGGCGGCGAAGCTAGTAGGCCAAGTAGGCCAAGTGCGACATAGTAGGCAGCTGTAGAGAAGAGGTTTCCCTTGCCCATAAGAACAAGGAGGATGGTACTGCCCACCTGAAAGACTTCCCGTCAAGAGCTACAAGTGTTGGAGTGCAAAAGGATGGCAAAACAGTTTCGCGTTGGCATGTTTCCGAAGGAAATGTCATGTTTTGGCAGCCAGAATGAACTTGCATTCTTTCACATTTTTCTGCAGTTACTTGTATGGAGAAAAAAACACATAATATTTGTGTGTGGCTGGTATGAGCCCTCCTGGTACGAGGCCCTGGCTCATTCAATGATGTTGCCCCTTTGGTCGCGGGATTGCTTGGCTGGGCAGGAGCGCTACACTCACCCTGCGCAGACTGGGCTGCGGATGTATATAGAACAGTTGAATGCATGGAGCGAGTGCACGTTGACCTCGCGTGCAATTTTTGGATGGGAAAGGAGAGGGCTCAGCCTATGGGTTTCCCCCCAGGTATCTCACGCCTTCGGACGCCTTGGGACGCCTTTCCTGGTTTGCGCAGCACATGCCGGCGCGACAATGTCTGGCCTCTCCTGAATTGGATGCACTCGCATGCGGAACAAAGGAAGGACACCGCTGAGTCAGCTTTGGCTAGTGCTTTCATGGGGACTGCAAACGTGCCAAGGTGAACCGTGGGTTCCGCAATAGCAACCATATCGATTGTGTTGACTTGGGGGAAGCAAGGCAGGGGCCACTTATGAGCTCTTGGAGTTGATGGCCATGTCCATCAACTCGAAGTGTCAACCTAGGCAGTCCAGGCCTCACTCGATGGGTTCCGGGGTGTTATGCTTGATAGAAGTCAATTCGAGCGGTAAGCCCCCCTGATGGCGATGAGCAGAGGGCCATTTTGCCCCCCCTCCTCCACACACAGAGCAACTAGGTCCCCCAGTAGGGCCCTTTTACCCTTTTTCGGGGACGCTTTCCCTACAAGAATACCTTGTTCTAACCTGTCTACTGGAGGACCTAGCCAGCTGAGCCAATTGAGGGTTCCAACGTGGCATCCGCCGCATGTTCCGGCTCAGCTGAGCTGCAAAGAACGGCCATGGCAAGATGAGGTCCAGAGGAAGGTGACGGCGAGGCGGGGCAGCTGGGGATATAGCAAGCCTCCCACCCGGAATATGTTTGGTCAAAAGTCTCTTCACCTTAGGGTTGCTTTGGTCATTCACGGAATTCGGACAAGAGGGATTCCGATAAGAAGCTTTGACGACATACACCACGCACATTTATATATATATGTTATATATATATATATATTCGTGCATATAATATGCACTGCATATTGCCACTGGGTGGGACGATGGGCTTTCAACATTTCCCTTCAGGTTCCATGGTTGGTGGGAGGGTGGCAAGCCCCCCGTTCTTTCCTTTTGAAGCTCGACCCCAGAAAACAGGCAGGTCAAACCTTTTTGTTCATCTGGAAAAGCGGATCATGTGGAGGTGATTTTGTCGTCAAAGGACTGCCATGGTGCAAAAAGGTAAACTCAGGTTGCCAGCTCAAGTGGCTCTCTGCCCTTGGATGGGCGCTTGTCCTTCCTGCACTTAGTGTTGCACATGGCCCCTCTGAGCTTCAGACGCTGATGTGTCTCATTGTTTGAGCACCAGCGAATTATCGGGGTCGTTGTTCATTGTTGTCAACTCTAAAGAGAATCAGACGGGGGCGTCGGGGGGTGGACAGTTGTTCAAATTCAAGCCTTCCGGCCCCCTAGTATGATTTCCACGTAGCTAGTGTTCAAAACTTATGCAGTTGCTAACAGGGTGGACCCAGAAAATGAGGTGAAACTTCCCCACAGCCACTAAATAGTGTACATGGTTTTGGGTCACATCACATCACCGGCATTCTTCGATCGCGACTGTGTTGGTTTTTTCATAGGGCCGCGGCTTTGGCACCAAGTTCCGCTTCTTACGATTCGCCAGGTTCCCGACGCGGAGCATGGCTCAAGTCTCAGATTCAGATGAGCTGGCCGAGTCACTGAGGAGTCAGGGTCCTGAGATATGTTCGTTTTCTGCGAGGTCTGAGGTCACTTCACTTCGCGTGGTTTAGCTGAACACAGTATGAACTCTTGATGTTTGAAGTTGATTCTTTTTGGATGTGGAGTCGCAGAAGGTACCTTGCTCACCTTGAATCTAAGATTTACGACTCCACATCTCCCGATATGCCTTCAAGCGGAATATGTTCGAAGGATTCTTGCGAGGCAGCCCGGCAGTGGGCTCGACGCGTGCTATTTGTACCTCAAGAGTGACACGATGCACACTAGCAAATAAGCATTTGCCAAAGGTAGAGATCCCTTTTTCGGATTTGTGCACTCCGACCGAGTTGAAAGCTATAGCCTTGACACACATATGAGTTGCAACAAAGGCGAACCCCAAAAATGAGTGCTTTCCCGGCTTCCCCTTCATTTCCTGATGAGATCAACCTGAAAAGGGCTGAAAATGGATCCTTTGATCTTGGAGCCGAGACGGCCGTGGCGGAGCTGGAGCACTTCATCGGCTACGGTGGGAAGCACCTGGGCACGGTGCGGTACCACCCGCTGCAGGCGGACCCTCGGGGGGGGGGGGGGGGCGGGGCGCGCGGTTTTCGCGGGGGGGTCGGATCCAGGCTTGTTGGTTTCGGATTTGTTCAATTTTTGACGAATTGGGATCATGTATGTGTGTTTTGTCCGACTCACTGAGAGAGCAATAGGCATCAAGCAAAACAAACACGCCTTGTTCTCCAATGTAAAAATCGTGTATTATAACTACTCCACAACCCCACGAGCATGTAGGCCATAGGTTGGCGATGCCCAGCCATACTGCTAGTTTGGAGAATGCTACGACATGCAGTTGCGTGAGCGTAAATGGCACATGTCCAACCCATTTGAGTTTACTCATCCCCTTTAGGTACTCACATCTGCCGTGAATTGTGCCATGTATTTTCAGCCTGTATCTCACCATCCGTGTAGCTTGGCAGGGGGAGACGCTGGTCTATGCAGCAGCCTCTGCCATCATCATCGAAAACGTGAATGCGCCGGGCTTAGACACCTCCTGTTTTTGTTTGTTTCTCCTGGGCGACGACTGTGCGACGAATGTGGTGCCCGATTCACTGGACAGCCGAGGACCCACACAAGCAGGAGTTCCTGAGGGGTCACGATGCCGAGGTGCATGGGTCGATCCGAGTCGAAACTGATGTCGAGATCCAATTTCATTGGAAAGTATGTCCCAGCCAGCAAAACATACTCACGTTGGTTGTCAAAATATCTCGCATGAAACGGCACCGAACCCTTTTCCGGTCCCTCTTCTACCCTGCCTGTGGTTCTTGAGTCCACAAGTCTCAAGCTGTTGGTCCATTTGGCTCACTCATTTCCCACAAGCTAGGGGATAAAGCCACATTCCCAGTCCTTCAAATGAATTGTACTCGTACAAATTACGTTGACCGCTGACGTAGAAGTGGAGAACAGATCTCCCGAGCAGCAAATCGCCAACAGTGGCTTTCCTTTCACCGGCACAATGCACCCCATGCTTTCGTTGACTTCGCGTGATTGAGAGCTAAATGTCCTTTTTCTGCCACAACGCTGCTTGGTCAGGAAGTTGAGTGGATCACTTCCCTGGCTTTGCGCAGGGCTTCCAGTATTTCCCTTTGGATGATGTCAACATTGATTGCTGGGTTGCCGTTTCAGGGGAGTGTCCTTTTTGCGGGATGTTTTTTTGTATCACGAGGCGTGTTTTGGATGATTCCCCTTCTAATATCGGGGGCCTGACGGGTTTCTGTGGTGCTGCATTGTTTTTGGGTATTCTGTCTATGTTTGTATGGGTTTGTCTCACAATAGGGGACCATCAAAATTGGTGGGTGTCCTTTTGGTGTCTCTTTAAAGCCAACCAAAAGAGGGTACAATCAAAAGGACAGACCCATATGTGTACACATGTCCAAACTTGGTTATGTACTGTTTGTGTTTGTCCTGTTTGTTTTCTGGACCTGTCGTTGTGTTTGTATGCAAGCAGAAAATGGGGACGTACCTGAGAGATGTCATCCCAAGTCCCAGTTCCCACAACAGTAGTTGACCAGCCAATACTCCTGTTAGCTGTTCAAGGTTTCCGGTAGTTATCAAAAAAGGGTGGTGTAAACGGATGTTTTTGTTTTTTTTACAGGAGACCTTTGGTTTGGTTGTTTTTTTGCGGTTAAAAACGACAGACCCAAACGGACTCGCTGGGAGTTTGGTTTGAACCGCGACCGGAAGGTGTCGGCCCTGGACGTGTCCCTGAATGGCAAGCTCCTTGCCAGTGGGCAGCCGGGCCGCCCGAGCGGCTTCGAAGCCGAGCGTTTTGGGGCGGGGGTGTGGAAATGTTGCCCGACCAAGGCGCGAATTTGGTTCAAGATGTGTGCCGAAAAACCCGGTTTAGCTTGGAATGGGGCTATTGATGTTCATGTCCCTACTATTGGTTTCGGGGGCACCCCCATGATTCCACCAGGTTGACTCCGGGGTCAACAGAAACAGGGGCTCCGAGCCTAACATGAAACCTAGGGTAGATCAAAATGATACAGAGCTTGTTCTATTTCCCTGTCAGGAATCATGTTCAAGGCGGAACCGTCTCATGTTTGGGAATCATGGTCATGTTTTGTTGGTGTCCTTTCCTTTCGCGGGAGGTTCCCGAGCCTCTCCGTGTGCTTACATTTCAGGCGCATGGTAGGGTGCTTGTTCTCTTCCTGTCCGGCGATACTGTCCCCGTGTCAAGATTCACTACGCATTGGCCAGGGGTGTTGTTGGAAGGGACGGGTCAGGATTGACTTGTACCTGACGTGATTCGACATTTCCGGGTTCACTCACGCATCGTTGGAGGCTCGGATCTCCATACAAGAAAGGCGCAGTGGCGTCATGGGCCCCAGGAGAGAAGCTGAAGGGGGAGATGGGTTTGGGGGTGGGTAGTCCCCGAAATGGCTTGCCCGGGTAAATGGAAACAATATCAAACCTGCGGACCCCTGGTGGTTTAATTTGAACCCAAACCCATGAGCTATATGGTTGTTTCTCTTTCTTGAGGGTCCCCTTTTTGCGGTTTCAACAGGAAACCAGCATGAGAACCCTTAAAATGGGGGGGGGTGCCCCGGTTCAAAGACAACCCCAAGTTATTCCAGAAATTTGCGAGCGGCCCCCTGTGTTTACGGTGACCCTTGGCTTGCTCCTCGAAAGACTGTCCAAGGAGGCCACCCAATTTTTGGGAGCGTTGATATTTGGGTGTGGGTCAAAATAAACCACCAGAAAACCGCAGGATGTAGTCCATGTTTCCATTTACCAGGGTTCAGGGATCCTTAAAAGATACATTTTTGCCCATTTGAAACATGGCTTTTTGCACCAAAATAGAGGGAAACCGCCATTTACAAGGCAATGTTCAGGTGTATAATGTAAGGATCCCTGATTTCGGGTACCTATTTTGACCCACAGCCATTTGCTTCTGAGGGGGAGGGGGCTGGGAGAGAAGCTGTCCCACTCAAAGCGGAAAGCGGGCGCCGCAAGACTACTTGGGTGGCGGAAGCTGGGGGAGGGGCGTTTGGCCCTTTGTGGACCCCCCAAAATGGTAGTTGTCCTTTTGGTTTCCCTTTAAAACCACAGGTACCCTCAAAAAAGGACACGAATTCGCAACTTGTTGGTTGAGGGGGTTCTGGTTACGCACTTGGCCCAACGTGTTGCTGGACTTGCGCTTTTTGGACGGCCTGGCAGCTATTGTTTTCAGGAGAGCAGTCTAGACCACTGTCATGAGCTGCCAGACCTGGGTCTCCCATTCCCAGTGTTGGCTTGGGTTTGCTTTCAGACCCTAGGGGGGTCCCTGGACATTCGCCAAACCCCGAATAAAAATCAAACCCTTGTTGATTCGAAGAGAGCTCCCAATTTCCGGGGCTTACCTTCATAGAATCTGACTGGAAGGCGTGGCAAGTGGCTGCTCTAGAGCCCTGTGGCAACGGTTTTCTTTCAGGCTCGTTTCAGAGCACCGGGCTTGAGCCACAATCAAAACCCGGGTAGCTGAAAGTTAGTACGGGACAGTTCCAACCATAAATAGCTGCGGATATCCGCCTTCTTAATTCTTCACATGGCTCTGGGCTTGGACCATTTTAAGCCCGGGCTTTATTTTTTGACTCATTCGGAAATTTTCGAATCGCATTTGACACCAAAACCATCCCCTCGCTTTAGGCAACCGGGGGCTTGAAGCAGGAGATTCAGACATTTAGAAGGGTTCCTAAGGAAGCCATGGCCAATACAGGAAATTTCGATGGCGCACATGCCCACCATTCCAGGAGATAACTTTACTTGGGTGTGTTGTTTGTTGAAGGTACCCCTTTTCCATTGGTGTTGGTGTAAAGGAAAGCCGAAAGGGACACCATCCGTTTGGGTCATTTGACTGTCCAAATCCCCCCATTTTGACACGTATCCACGCGACCGAGGCCTGTAGTTGTTTGGGACTTCGACAACAGAAGTCGCTACATCGACTTCCACGGCCCCGAGCCCAGTGGCCTTCTCTGGAAGAGGTTCCGATTCGATGGCTTGCACGAAAGCACAATCATGTCCAGCGTCCTAGAAAATCATTTCGTAGAACCCAGTCACTGTCAGCCAACTCGTGTCTCCTCCCTTGACTAAATATGGACCAGAATCTGACATATGTCGTTTTTGTAGCCTGGAGTTGTGCAAAGCTTTGTCCATCAAATGATTGTGTTGCGTGTTTTGTTTGTTTTGCTTGGTGGGTTTGCGAAAAACGACAGACATCAGTTCTGCATGATCCTGCTGAGGACTCGCCCATTCGGTGCTTTGCGTGTGGATCTCAGACGCAACGTGTGCCGTTGATTGATTCGCGCAGCGTGTTTTGCGTTGTTATTTTCCGTGGGGGTCGGGGGCGTTGAGGATTTTATTTGTGTGGTTGCGTCAAGGGATGCGAATTTGTGAGGATCACCCTATGTTGATGTGTTGTTTGATCCAGTGCTATGTTTTACGTTTATGTGTTTAGGTAACTTGTTGGGAACATGTGTATGTTCTCCGGGACAGCTTAAGACGTGTACCAATTTGGGTGGCTTGAATAAAACCTTGAGTTGCTGGGAGGCATACTCTACCTCCTCTTAGAGGCTTTTGATTATCGCTCTTTCACTCTTTGGTCGCGCCATCACAATGTGAACGTCCTTCGAGTCCTTGGACATGTCATGGGTGAAATGCTTGGGAAAGCACGTTGCGGCTGGGAATATCAGGGCTTTTACTTCTTTGTTGCCTCAAAAAGGAGCCGAATCCGGCGCAGTTCACAACTTATCTCTACTAAAACATCGCCCAACCAAAATAGACCAAACACTTTCTCCCCCACAGAGTGGGCGTGATGTCTCGTACACTCTTGATGGGATTTTGGACCAACCACCACTTATACAAAAAGGGATCAGCCTCTGTGGTTGGGGCGGAGGCAGCCCAACAAAAACATGCCCATTAGCTGCAAGTGCCACCAAAAGGTAGAATATATCTACCACGCCAATATCGTTTGAAATCATATATATATATATACATATGTATACAGCTTGAACCTCCGCAGGACGATTCATTTGCTGCTGGTGCGGGAGTCCCCTTCAGCCATGATCGTGGAACGTTGTTTCTTGGGGCCTCATAATCAGAAACATTTTTCAAAGTGATAATGTAGCCATAGGGATGATCGATTTTGATATCACAGAAACGGTGTGTCCCACGCACTCAGCCGCGTGGAAGCTGACGCGAGCGAGTCGAGTCGCAACGCTTTCGCTTCGTCTGAGGTGAGATTTTCGCCGGACGGGCGGTTTCTGGTTGCAACGGGCGCCAACCAGATGCCGCCTGGCTTGAAATCATCACTCCTGTGAGCCTGGGGAAATCAACATGCAGAAAAGGACCTGCTTTCTGAAGTTGAAAGGGAACTCAAAAGGAAGAAAAGGAAGAAACCGCTTGGAGGGGTCAATTCATTCCTACTTTGGGAAGCACTCTTCACCTTTTACTCCCGCGCCTGCCTCCCGTGCTGTTTTGCCAGAGATCCCCACCCCCCCAAGTCAAGTGTGGAGGGAGCAGAGGAGGGGGTGGGGTACCCCACAATACATGACTCTTCCGAAATCTTCTCGTGGGTAGGGACATGGTTTCATACATTTCACATCCGTTTGTTCTTCCGCCTAGGGGTGTGGATCGGACTGAGTATCCGCTTGCAGGGAACCTGTTGGCCCTGAAGGGAAGTGCCTCAGCTCTTGGTTTTCGTCATGTGAGAAGATTCCCTTTGTGCCAATCGGATGCGAGAGAGCCGTTGCCTCGGGGTTTGAGACTTAGTTCGGGACGGACTAGGACTGATCCATTCCGAACTCAGCGAACCGGAGGACCAAGTCTGGGGGATTTTCCGATCGAAGCTCAGGCTGTTCCTGTGGGATGTACGGGCCCAAGCGGCAAGCCGCGCACTGCCCGAACTCGACGAGGTCGGCCCTTGGAAGGCATCCTTCTAGAGGTGCTACGGGCCCAATGTCACCGAGTCTGCGAGGAAGATCGCACATGGACCGCCAATATGTTAGTCGCCCCGCGTGTCAAGGGAGAAGAGTCATGGAGCAGCTTTGTTTTGTGGAATGTGGAGGGAGCATGTGTGGACTGGGATTAACACCTCATGGATCCAAAAGGGGATCGTCCAAAGACTTCTTCATGTTGATTTGAGAAGCCCCGTGTGTTTTGCATGACGCCCCGCACGCGTATCGTAGGGGGGCCCACCAGCAATCTTCAGACAGCAAGGGCTTGGAGCCTCCCAAGGTGGGAAGTCAAGGCAAGAGCGGAACCTGCCAACATGTTAGAACCACCAAGATGTTAGAACCACCAACATGGTAGATCCCACCAACATGCTAGATCCCAACGACCTAAACGGGTACAACCCAAAAACAGAGACCCCCGATCGAGTTGGCTCTTCGAATCGGATCAGGTCTCTACCGGGGAAGTGGTTTACAACCGGAGGACTTGCGGGGTAGCTGACTCGCGACGAGCGCATCCGATGTACCACTTTTTTTTGGGATGGTGTGTTAGAGGGGAAGCAACAAAAACAATACAGCAATGTTGGATTCCCACAAGCCTAAGACACGCAGAGCCATGTGACTCTTGAGGCTGACTTTGAGAATGGTAGCATGCAGAGCCCTTGTTTTTGTAAGACTCATTTCCTGAAGCCAGGATTAAAATGCCTCAGGGTTTTTCATGATGCTTCCCCCCCCCCCGTTTCTTCTGGTTACCCCTCACTGGCCATACAGTGCGCGCGCAACTCGTTCAGGACGGAGAGTCCTTGCTTCCTGGGGGTCTGGGGCTCCATCTTGGAGTCCGGGCGTTGGGCTCGGAGTTGGAAGGGAGCTGAAGGACAGGTTTTTGGGGTCGGATTTTATGGGAGCCCCGCCCATGGATTTCGGATTTCATGGTGAAATCCCTTTGAAACCACGCCGAAAAGGGGTACACACACAGTTGATTGCGATCAAATATCAAGGGAGGGGGAGATGGGCAGAGGGGAGGTGCCAGGTTTGTTTGTCATAAATGTCCGTTGCGTTTTGCACATGGTTTTGCAGGGCTCCTTAAAAGATACGTTTTGCCCATTTAAAACATGGCTTTCTCCACTGAAACAAAGGGACACCGTTTACAAGGCAATGTTCAGGTGTCTCCCGTAAGGATCCCTGTTTTGGGTCAGACCACTTTCAGCTGCTGAAAGATGCATGCGAGCTCGCACAAAGGCGATATCCGTCATACCAGTTGCGGCCTCAGCCAATGGCTCGTCTCGATGGTTTCCACCCCCAAACCAATCGCCCAAAAATAGTACTGGGGCATGCAACCGCTATGCGCCCACTAAAAAAATGTGGTTACTCACCAGTATACCTCCAAGGGAAAATGGGAGTATACCACTGTGTTGCCTATATTGAAAAGGGCATACTTCTCCCATGTTCATCCATGTCCCCCCCCCCGCAGTGGTTCGGGGGTGGAAATCCTCGCTGATCGATGCGAGGCAGCACCAGTACAGCTGGATTTGTGCTTGGATTTTTGCTTGGATTTTGCTTGGTGAGGCGTGCCTCACAGACCAAACATCCACTGATTCTGAGAGTCCGCTGCTTCTGTCCGCAGTCCTTGCTTGGTTTGAAGGGACATAAAGGACATCCGCAACTTTTTAGTGCCACTATTTTTACACCAATCCATGTGCTAGTGCCATTGTTCAAAAGCACCATGGCTGAAGATCAGCCATGGGAGACCCCGATCGGCGCCTGAGGCTGTGCACGACTTACGACAGCCAGGTGCTGTATCACCTCATGAGTTTCGACATGAGGCCTGGTCCACAGGGCTCTTGTCCGGCTCTCTCGGCGACATGCTGGGACATCCAGGGGCTCCAGTCGTTCGATGTATTCACAAGCCACGAGGGTTTCGCTGAAAAGGGTTTTTTTGTGCACTTGCGGTGCTCAAACATGGAACTTCACATGTGTGAAACAAACACTCTCATGTGAAGAGACAGCCACTGCTGGTTTTTGGTAGGAGTGGTTGCTTCATGATACTCGCCTGACCACACACATGGATCCCAGAAGCTTCATTTTTGGAGGCATCTCCTTTGGGAGCTGCATGACCAATTCTGCAACTGTATGAGGGCACAAGCCTGTTCAGCGCGCACCCCCAACTCCGTTTTCCCATTTTTGCACATGCACGCCTCAGACATACTTTGGAGTTGGGGGGAGTCCTTTCTCAAATTCAGCGAAAGTCCGCATGCCCAAAGTGGAAAGCAGCAGAAGTGAGTGTCTTCGCTGTGCGAGCCTTAGGTCTTGCGCAAATTGGGCCCTTCAACATAGTCCCGTTTGAATTGAACAGAATTGCGACTGCTTTCAGTTTGGTTCTTATCACTTTAGTGCCGTCTACCCTCCCTCTTACCAAACTTGCACCCGACTCTGTCGGGTCTTTGGACATTTATCTTCCGCCCCCTCTCAGATATTCTTCTGCGAAAGAAACAGATTGGCAAACACAGACCCACCCATCCTGTAGTTCTACCCCAGGATAGAGGGATCTTGCTGGTGCTCAGTAGGGAATGTGGGAATGACGCCCTATAACCCACCCTCGTTTCCTTTAAGGGACCAAAGCCTGGGTTCATGCCATTTCTCATTCCCTACTTATCGCACCAGCAAGGCATGGATCTCTTCCACCGCCCTCCGATGTCCCACGACCCCGCGAAACGAACCTCAGCGAGGTCGATGTCTTACTCCCTGGGTAGTGAGCCAGTGCAGCGCCCGCCTCAGAGCGTCGAGCGAGGAGACCTGCGGTACGCTGCGTGCGTGCGTGCGTGCGTGCGTGCGTGCGTGCGTGCGTGCGTGCGTGCGTGCGTGCGTGCGTGCGTGCGTGCGTGCGTGCGTGCGTGCGTGCGTGCGTGCGTGCGTGCGTGCGTGCGTGCGTGCGTGCGTGCGTGCGTGCGTGCGTGCGTGCGTGCGTGCGTGCGTGCGTGCGTGCGTGCGTGCGTGCGAGCGTGCGTGCGTGCGTGCGTGCGTGCGTGCGTGCGTGCGTGCGTGCGTGCGTGCGTGCGTGCGTGCGTGCGTGCGTGCGTGCGTGTGGGTGTGTGTGTGTGTGTGGGTGTGTGTGTGTGTGTGTGTGTGTGTGTGTGTGTGTGTGTGTGTGTGTGTGTGTGTGTGTGTGTGTGTGCGCTTTTGTTTTGCTTTGTTTTCTTGGTTGCTTGTTTGTTTTGTTTTGGGTTAGTTTGTTTTGTTGTGTTTTGCTAGGTTGTTTGTTGCATTGTTTGTTTTGTGTGGTATGTGTTTGTGTTGTTGTGATTTGGTTGTTTGTTGTTTGTGTTTGCTTGTTTTGTTTTGTTTTGCTTTCTTGCTTGCTTGCTTGCTTGCTTGCTTGCTTGCCTGCCTGCCTGCTTGCCTGCCTGCCTGCCTGCTTGCTTGCTTGCTTGCTTGCCTGCCTGCCTGCTTGCCTGCCTGCCTGCCTGCTTGCTTGCTTGCTTGCTTGCTTGCTTGCTTTTTTGTGACTACCCTATTGGGGTTGGTTTAAAGGGACAAAGGAAGCCACTCATTTTGGGAGTTCCCCTGGTTCGACGCACGCCGCATAATATGGTTTGGAGCACAGACCCATTTGGAAGACCACCGAAGGGGTTCCGAACACTTCCCTGTTTGAGCTGGTGGGAGGGTGCTGTAGATGTGAGTGTGTCTTCCTGTTGAGGGTACCTCGTTTCACCGAATTAGGCTCGGTTCTTCCAAGTATTCCACAAAACTTCTCAGAAGCTCGACGGAACAGGTTCACAACATGAAGCAACAGAACAGGAGTTGGGCCAGTTGGAGTTTAAGAAGTTGCAGGGTCTCAACCCCTCATTAAATGAGGTTTTGCTCCAACATTCTGGGATGGTTCCTCTTTTCAAAAAGTGGTTCTTGCTGGTCAGCAAGCAACACCGGTAGGTTTTTGGGAAGACAACCTAGGGATCCCCCCTTTAAAGGAAGCCACGGCTTGGATCTGGGGGTGCCCCTCATGCCCTCCCGCAGCTCTTCAGGTTCCCGCCCTCGGGCCTGCAGCGAAAGCACATCTGCGGCATCGTGGTGGGGGACTTCCTGATCACAGGCCGCCGGCATCGGCTTCCGGCGGAACCGGCCTTGGGGCTGGAGAAGAAAAGCTGGGCCGCGTGCGTTTTTGTTGGTTGTTCTCTTCTTTTGTTCTGGCCGCAAACGAGATCTTGGGCTCAGCTTCCCTCGAATTCGGTGGTTTGGTGAACGGTGGTTTGGTGCTTGGGGCGAGGCTTCCCATTTGCCATTTACCCCCTGCAAACAATTGGAGGGAAGCATATTGCGCACCCCTCTTCCCAACAGGGTCAAGTGGATGTTCTGTTCAAGGAAGGTACAAGGTACGGGGAAGCTCTAATGATTTTGGGATGCTCTTCCATTGAGCAATTGGAAATTGCAAGGAGCGTAGAATGAGGCTTTCTGCATTTTCAGAGAGTGTGGCTTTGCTTTCAACAGAGCAAACCACACACCCTGGTTTATGCGACGCGGGTCCGACCCGACATGGGAAGGCGTGAAGGAGATTCCTTCGCTGCTGACACAGCAGGGGTTGCTGGTTGAGCTAAGAGCCCCCTTTCCCAGTCGCGTATCGGTTTCCTGGAACACTCTCCAAAATGGCAGGAAAGGACATCCTTCCCCTTACATTTCTGATGTCCACCAAAGGATTCCAATTCCACAGGTACCTCGGCAGGGGACATGTGCGTCTTCAGCATGAAGACGAAGGCCATGGGAGCTGAACGCCTGACGATTCGAAGCTGCCAGGAGTCAACATTGGGGCCGATATTGATAAAGGACTCGGACACATGCAGATGCACGTCTACTCAGTTTGGCCCAGTCAGACATGAGCCATTCTGGCGTTGTTTGAAGAATGGCCTCGACAGACTTTGGGCTTTCCACACGCTCTTGGACCCTTGGGTCGGCCTCTTTTCGAATTCGGGGAGTGGTCGTGAGGTCTGGGTGCTACAACTGCACCCTCCCTTGAATCCGCAATCACCCCGTGATCAAGGGTGAAACAGCTCACTATAGCGAAGGGGATGACATTGGGGATACATCCAGAGTTAGCAAGATCAAATGCAGGATTGTAGGGATTTCTTATCTGAAACCAGCACTTCTCCCCGAATAAATCAGGCACCCCCAGAGCAGACCCGCAAAGAAAGGGGGCTTCCCCATATTCTGCAACCCTGGCATTTCAGTAGGATGAGGTTGACTGGGGAAGCATACGAAACCCTCTCGATGCATGGCGTGCTTCCTGCGCAGGTGTTTCGCACTGCCCTGCCTGTCTGCAACAATGGTGCCTTGCCTGGCATCAGTTGTGAAGGCCAATTGGAGCAAGCTCATCTAGGGATAAAGCAACCTCACACATGATGATGGGCCTTTGCTGGAGGTACCTGATTTCCAGATACAATTTTCTACCGTCAATTTGTAGGCATGGGGGACAAAAGCTCAACAGAACCCGTTCCTTCAAAACGGGCATTACGGGAATGGTGTACTTTCAGCGTGGCTTTTTTGGCTTCCATTGAAACCTTGCAAAGCCATCCAACAGGGCTCCTTTTTTTCAGCCAAATTCCTGTCAACCCCTCCCACCCCTCCGCCGCCACCACGTTGCCCACCCCCCCCTCCCAAAAATAAGATACAAAGGCTTTTTGTTGAGGCCTCACTTTCACTTGGAGGAACTCGGGGGGGAGATTGGGATATGAAATTTGGCACCTTGAGTTCTGCTGCGCGCTTTGCTTCTGAATTGTGGCTTGTCGTTTGCCTTCAGATGGGTTTTGACACCGTTTCGGAGGGCCTTGGGCGTGGATAGCGCCATGGTTATAGATTCCAATGAAACTTCATGCAACATGGCTTGGGAGACCAAGACGGGTGCACTTGATTCCCTGTTGATGCTGCTGTTGGGACGCAGCTGTTGCCCACCATTGCAGTCCGATCTTGACCGCCAAACGAGTTGTTCAAACGCTGCAGGCCATAAGGTGCGGATGCCAGCCCCTTTGATTCGCTGGTGTGGCTTAATGATAGACCCATTTGGGCACCAGGTTTGGATTTTGGCACCAGAATTTGGTTGTGATTCATATGGATGCCGCTTGGTCAGCAATTCCGGAGTGAGGTGTGACGAGCATCGCGCAGCCTCCTGGATGCACCAGGATGTTTGGTATGCGTCAAAGCCAATTAGACTTGGGAGAGTGTGGGCTGATGCGCGAGTGTTCCTTGTGTGACTCATTTGACTCATATGCTGCATCAGAGCTTTTGCCAGGGGAGCCATTGCAGCCTAGTCACGAGGACCATAAAAGTCACAGTCTCTTCCCTTGGCTCGCCTGGCTCTAAATAGAGTTGGACTGACGGGTGACAAGGGAACCAGAAGGAAATCAGTTTGGAGACAAGCCCACATGTTACAATTTTGCATGTGGCTACACTTGTCAAATATATTGTGTAGAACTGCCAGGAAGGTACTTTTCCCGTTGATGTCCTTTTGAAACCATCAGGCAAAAAGGACCATCAGCCAACCCGATCCCCTTTTGCTGCGAATTCTCTGGTTCGTTTTTAGACCTCGGCGTGTACTTTTGGGGCTGCGCCCAGGCAGCTTGGGGGGGGGCTTTCCTCTTTTTGCACTTGGAGTCCTTTGAGTTGGATGATTGTGAAGCGAAACATCGGTGAACTGAAGAAAAGCAAATCACTGCTGCACTCACCAGAAAGTGGGGAACCCATGAATTATTCAAACATGGCTGCACACCAGAAAGGTCGGGTTCCCATGTTGCCTTTTGTTTAGACTTGACGTCTAATCATGGCCAAATCATGCGCCCAAAAGACCAAACATTTTTCTGAATCCTGGTCCACGATGCAGTCCCATTGCCTATGTAATTCATTGAATGCTTGGGATGGAGAGTTATAGCTTTGTGTCCAAAGGTTGGGACTCCTTTGGATAATGCTTGGGGGTAGCACCCCATCTTTACACTGGTAGCTATTGAGGGCAGGCCTTTCTGCGAGCGAAGTGGCCAATGTAGAAACAAGGCTTACCAAGAGGCCAGTGCCAGTCTGATGGCATGGCCATTCTTCCCGGGTCCAGGGCCCCTCATGTTGGCTGGTCGCAAGGGTAGCCGTACTCCTTGAGGTACCCTTAGCGAATGGCCCCCCTTTCAATCATGATCTATGTTCATGTGGGTATGTGTCCAAATAGGAGGACTCCATAAATGGCCCAGCTTTCCTGCCGGGTTTTAGAGCACCAAGACATGGTTACCCTCAACCAACGCCCATCTAGCATTGATCATTTGGGCCTCGCAAAGGGCACCGATTCGGATGCTGAGGTTTGGCGATGTGCTCTTTGTGGTGGAGAGCTTAGGTTGAAGCTGTCGACAAGAAATGGCTGGGCCCCCCTTTGGCCTTTTTTGCATGGCTTGTGTGAGTTCCATGTCCCTTCAAGCATCAAGTCATCGACTTTTTGCTCGGGTCAAAGGCTGGCCAAGTTTCCGGGAGTCGGGTGCAGATAGCAGAAAGTTGGTTTCCGTCACGACAGAGTTGGAAGCCACAAGGTGTGTGTGTGTGTGTGTGGGTGTGTGAATCTTTCCAGGCACCCTAAACACCCAGTTCAACGGGAAGCCGACCTGAAAGAGGCCATTTGGAGGTCTTTGGACGGGGTCAAGAGCCTGCGCGCAATCGAGGCAGGCGGCGATGGCCGGATCAAAGCCATTCGAGGCTTTGACGTTCAATGGGACGTGCGGCCCCCGGCGCCTTTGAAACCGGTACGTGGGTGTGTATTTAATGCGGGAGCCAGCAAAATAGGCGGTTTCTTTCTGAACTTCCAGCAAGGAGAAATCTACGAAGCCCTGTGCTTTTACGGATCTTGGCCAGTGTTTGAGTCTTTTGGTTCTCTTGTGCTGATTTTTGGGTGGGTGGCTGCAAAGAGGGTGCTGTACCCGGCCGAAAGCATGCGGAATTGACAGACCCTGGAGGACAAATGTTCCTCTCAAAAGCTCGCCTTCAGGTTTTGTGACTCGTTCTTGGAAGAGGAAGTTACAACCTGAGGTCTTATCAGAGAACGTGCTTGAGTCCGGCGTCTCCGCTGAAGCCTCAGAGATCCAAGCATTCTGAACCCAAGAGTTTCTTCCCTTTGTCAAGGGAAGTCTGGGTGAAACAAACGAGGGCAGCAAGCTTTAGTTAGTCTATTGACATTTGCGCCTTCAAAATGCTTAAATGGCTGTGGGTCAAAACCAATGCTACTATTTTGGGGTAGGTGCACCACTTACTTTGGTCTATTTTAGTGGGGATTGGGATGTTAAGTGGGGCTACAGGATTTTGACCCATGGTCAAAGATGGATGGGTCAAATATGGATTTGGGGAGCCCGCAAAAGTTCCATTTATAGTTGCATGGTCCCCTTTCCTATGGAAAACTCGCTCAAAGGAACCGGTGGCACCCCGCACTGCCGCACTCGATCCCGCGTCGGAGGCCCTGACTCCCGCCTGCGACGGTGCAGAGCTGATTGCCGGCACGAGGATCGAGGGATTGGGAAGGGATGGGGAGGACCTCGCGATGTATGACCCTTGATGCGAAGGTAAGCGCAGGATTCCTCTTGCGAATGCTCAAACAGGTGGTACAAGGACCACCCTGGAAGACAAATGATGATCCTGTTATGGAATGGGTCCCTTTGCTCGGCACTTTAAAGTGGAATCCAAAGGCCACCGCCACTTAAGAGCTTGAGACCAACTATGTTTGTTGTGCCAAAGGACTTTGAGAACATCCACATTTTTCGCCAAAGGGACAGCGCCAAGTTGAGTTTGGAGCAACAGGGACGCCTGCCAATATGGCTGTGGCTCAAGAAAAGGTTGTGGCACCTTGGTATAAATGGAACCGAAGACTAACACCTGCGGTTTGCCCTGGCTCTTTGATTTCGAGCCGCACCCATATTTGTGTCCCCCGCCAAAGCCAGGAACGGCAAGATGTGGCGCTTGCTGTCCTCAGACCTGACGGCCACCCTGCAGATGGCATCTCATACCGGAGAGGCTCGGAGCGTCGCATCCGTTGGCTGAGATCCCCATCCATTGGTTGTGATCTGGTTGTATTTGAATTTGGTTTGGTCAGTGAAAGCAAAAGGAAAGCCGTGGTTGAAGCGATGAGAAGTTTTGGTTGCACGGTGCCCAATTGTTTTTGTGTGGTTCTCAAGGATAGCCTTTTTTGCTTAGGGTGCCTTTTTGGAGTTTGGGCAGGCGAAGGGAAAACAAAGCGACAAGCTCTTAAACACACTGGAGCCTGGGTGTGGGGCCATCACTCTGCTTTCCCTCTACATGGGTTCCTGTCGAACCAACCAAGTCATACACGCATATGAGATATCCACCAAGTGGACTCCTTCCTGGAAACCCCCTTGGAGAACCCCCCCCCCCTCCACCCCTCTCCCAAGCCAACAGAGATATCAGTGAGCGGAAGGGCCACGTTGGGTATCCGGTTTGGGCCCAATTGTTTAATGGGTTTCGGGTGGTATTGTCAGCTACTTGAAGGGGACCATAAAACACCACACGCACCCACACACACACACAAAAAGAATCATAAATTGGGAAAACACTAAAATAGCCCTGAACAAAGACAACCTAAAGGAGCAAAGATCTAGACTTGAGACACTTTGCGCGGCTTTGGCTTTTCCAGCACATTTCGTGACTCACTGTGCTTTCCAACCGTGCTTGCACCGTGTGTAGCGGGGTAGGGGAAAAGGCACAGTTCTGGGCCCTTTGGCAACCAAAGATTCAGCCATCCACAAGCCACAAGCCGGTGGGTCCGACTCCTGACCCGTTGAGCACAAAAGTGGAGACCCCCTGTAACAAGCATCGGAAAGCGGATCTGTGGATCCCGCTGGAAGATGAAAAGAGCTGTTGCAAAGTGCCAAAACAGGGCGTTGCTGCTTTTTCAGAATGTATACAACCAACACAGACGCAGGGAGAAGAAGAGGTGGAATCGACAAACACCGCATCCAAAGCGTTTTTTCAGAGTATAGAAGCCCCCTCTTCGGGCTTGTTCCTTGTTTGTTCTCCAGTTGCTCAACCAAAACGCGGTAAAAACTACACCTCTACAGTATTGATCTATAAATAAATCTCCTTTTTCAAGTCTTCCGGTTTCTCGCATGACCCAAAAAACATACTGTGGGTGGACGAAATCCAATTCGCACCACTTTGAAACCATGGTTGAAACCAACACATTTGTTGGTATTTACCGGGGAATCAGACCATGCCAGGGTGTCTGAACGGTGCGAATTGGATTTCGCAACCACCAGCATCACACCCCGCCGGATCGATCGCCGGAGCGATCCGGCGGAGAGGTCACGGACATCGCCTTCGGCGGCCGGAGCGACGTGGTGTGCACCGTGTCCGATGTCGGGGAGGCCGGCGAAGCGAGTCGCTTCGGACGGGGAAATCGGAGCGCGGCCTACGGGGGGTTGGAAGGCGTGGAGGCGTGGAGCCGAGACACCCGGGTGCTTCGTCTGGCTCAACAAGATGTTCCTTCATGGTTTTCTTTCGTTTTTGGTGGTCTTTTCATTGGGGGGGAGTGGGCGGGAGGGCCCCTTGAAATCAAGTGCCAAGAGAAAGGGCTATCCGGTTTGAAGAGGGGTTCCATTTATTTGCCCTTGAAAGGCAAGTACCAAGAGCAAGAATTGGTGCAAAATCTGGGGTGGGGTGGGGGGTGGGGAAAGGCTGACTCCTCGAAATCGTCAACTTTGGACATTGTGTTGGGAGTTGCCTTTTTGCACCAGAAACTTCCACTCACCCAAGGAAAGCAGGGGGCTGACTCTGATGAATGGTGAGCTCTTCACTTCCTTGTAGCGCAGTGCTCGTCACCCCTGAACATACCCCAGTTTCTCCCAATGGAAGAAGGGCATGCCCATAGGTGTCCTTGTTGGTTGTTTTGGTGGCAAAGTAGATGGCACTGGTTTACCTGGTGGTTCACTCATCTACGAGGGCCATCTACTTTAGAGCCTCCGGCTCAGTCCGCCGACATTGTCCTCTCCCTTTTCTCCTTCTTCCTCTCTTCCTTGTCTCCCTTGTGTGTTCTGTCGCTCCCTCCCTCTGCTCCCATCCTCCCCATCCCCCCAAGCCTCTCTCTCCCCACTCTCCCTCTCTCGTATGTATGCATGCATGTACATATGTATGTATGTATGTATGTATGTATGTATGTATGTATGTATGTATGTATGTATGTATGTATGTATGTATGTATGTATGTATGTATGTATGTATGTATGTATGTATGTATGTATGTATGTATGTATGTATGTATGTATGTATGTATGTATGTATGTATGTATGTATGTATGTATGTATGTATGTATATGTATGTATGTATGTATGTATGTATGTATGTATGTATGTATGTATGTATGTATGTATGTATGTATGTATGTATGTATGTATGTATGTATGTATGTATGTATGTATGTATGTATGTATGTATGTATGTATGTATGTATGTATGTATGTATGTATGTATGTATGTATGTATGTATGTATGTATGTATGTATGTATGTATGTATGTATGTATGTATGTATGTATGTATGTATGTATGTATGTATGTATGTATGTATGTATGTATGTATGTATGTATGTATGTATGTATGTATGTATGTATGTATGTATGTATGTATGTATGTATGTATGTATGTATGTATGTATGTATGTATGTATGTATGTATGTATGTATGTATGTATGTATGTATGTATGTATGTATGTATGTATGTATGTATGTATGTATGTATGTATGTATGTATGTATGTATGTATGTATGTATGTATGTATGTATGTATGTATGTATGTATGTATGTATGTATGTATGTATGTATGTATGTATGTATGTATGTATGTATGTATGTATGTATGTATGTATGTATGTATGTATGTATGTATGTATGTATGTATGTATGTATGTATGTATGTATGTATGTATGTAATGTATGTAATGTATGTAATGTATGTATGTATGTATGTATGTATGTATGTATGTATGTATGTATGTATGTATGTATGTATGTATGTATGTATGTATGTATGTATGTATGTATGTATGTGTATGTATGTATGTATGTATGTATGTATGTATGTATGTATGTATGTATGTATGTATGTATGTATGTATGTATGTATGTATGTATGTATGTATGTATGTATGTATGTATGTATGTATGTATGTATGTATGTATGTATGTATGTATGTATGTATGTATGTATGTATGTATGTATGTATGTATGTATGTATGTATGTATGTATGTATGTATGTATGTAATGTATGTATGTATGTATGTATGTATGTATGTATGTATGTATGTATGTATGTATGTAATGTATGTATGTATGTATGTATGTATGTATGTATGTATGTATGTATGTATGTATGTATGTATGTATGTATGTATGTATGTATGTATGTATGTATGTATGTATGTATGTATGTATGTATGTAATGTAATGTATGTATGTATGTATGTATGTATGTATGTATGTATGTATGTATGTATGTATGTATGTATGTAATGTATGTATGTATGTATGTATGTATGTATGTATGTATGTATGTATGTAATGTATGCATGCATGTATGTATGTATGTATGTATGTATGTATGTATGTATGTATGTATGTATGTATGTATGTATGTATGTATGTATGTATGTATGTATGTATGTATGTATGTATGTATGTATGTATGTATGTATGTATGTATGTATGTATGTATGTATGTATGTATGTATGTATGTATGTATGTATGTATGTATGTATGTATGTATGTATGTATGTATGTATGTATGTATGTATGTATGTATGTATGTATGTATGTATGTATGTATGTATGTATGTATGTATGTATGTATGTATGTATGTATGTATGTATGTATGTATGTATGTATGTATGTATGTATGTATGTATGTATGTATGTATGTATGTATGTATGTATGTATGTATGTATGTATGTATGTATGTATGTATGTATGTATGTATGTATGTATGTATGTAATGTATGTGTGTATGTATGTATGTTGTATGTATGTATGCATGTATGTATGTATGTACGTATGTATGTATGTCTGTAAGCATGCATGTATGTATGTATGCATGTATGTATGTATGCATGTATGCATGTATGTGAGTATGCAAGTAAGTAAGTAAGTAAGTAAGTAAGTAAGTAAGTAAGTAAGTAAGTAAGCATGTAATGTATGTACGTATGTATGTATGTGTGCATGCATGCATGCATGCATGCATGCTACATACATGTATGCATGTATGTATGTATGTAATGTATGTATGTATGTAATGTCATGTAATGTAATGTCATGTAATGTCAATGTAATGTAATGTACTGTACTGTAATGTATGTATGTATGTATGTATGTATCCTTGCACTTCCCCTTTGCTCCCCAGTATTTCCCGCAAAAAAAACACGGTTTTTCCAGCGTTTTCGCAAAGAGGACGTCCAAAAACATTGAGTTTTTCCAGATTTTCGGCAAAAGGATGCAGGAAGCCCAAGCCAGCAAAAAAGCCGGCAGGGGGAATCGAGCCTGGGACCCCTGTTTTGCGACACCGGCTCCCCGAAGACTACGTTTAGTGGAACGTCATCAAATTGCCGCGCGGTACGTGGGGGACCCCCCCCCCCCCAAAAAACCTACGTAATAGACGTCGGGCGGGGGGGGGTTAGGGGGGGGGTTATCCTCTATCCTCTAGTAAGTATCCGACACGCCGAGCAATGTCGGCGGATTTGCCCTAAAAAGGACACCTATGGGTGCCCCAAAAGGGCAGCCAGTGGGGCTCAGATCCTTTCAAAGCAAGTTCCAGTTCTGTCTCAAGCAAAGGAGCTTGTCAGGTAGTTGGTTTCTCGCAAGGGTACTGTGAAAATTGGTATGGGGTCCTGTTGACGTCCTTTTTCAGGCCCAAATTGTCTACGCTTGTGATGATTGGGGCTTTGGAGAACCCTGGTGGGAGGTCTTCCTTTTGGACCTCTTGGCAACTAGGATCTGGAAGCAGAAATTGATGATTGTCCCTCGGTGTTCTTTTAAGCCAAAAACCTCCTCGGACTCAGGGCACCACTTGGTGCACCAGTCGGGGATTGTCTGGTTCAAGGTCATGTCCCATGCGTTTTGGAGGTCGGGATGGACCCTAGGTTTCCTTTTAAACCGACCAACCAAACAAGGTGGAACCTTGCGAGGTTTTCCTTTTGGACCTCTCCGACTACATGCCCGTCACCTCTGCCTACGCCAAGTCTCCCGCACGCACTGCCGCGCCGAACTGAGGAGTTCGAGCGCGTTTCGTTCTTCAGACCACTACGCGCGAATGGACAAGTTGTCAATGGAACATGTGTACCCATACATACTTGTGGCAGGGGTGATTGTATCTCTATTATCGATAATTATATCACAGAATGCATATATATATATGTATATATATATATATATTTATTTATTTATTTATTTATGTGTGTGTAGGTATATATATATATATATGTATATATACATACACAAGAACACAATAGTAAGCGTGCTTTGATCGGGCAGTGGTTGCTCAACAAATTTACTGTTCGTGCTTTTCGGTATTCGTGCATGGTTGTAGCCTTGTTGAAATGCGCAACTCAGAAGTCCATAACTTTTTTTGTTCATGAGGTTCGGTCAACATTGTTTGTGGCCTATGAGTCACAAAAGCGGAGGGTGCTGCAACTTGTCCGTCGATGCAACAAATTCGAGCGCGGTATATGTAACTATTTCTTTCAGTGGCAAGGGACAAGGACCAATCCTCAAACTCCACTCCAACTCCCCCAGCTCCACCTGAATTCCACCCAACTCCACCCCAAGCGGGCGCGCACAAGAGATATTGACCAGTCCTCAAGCACCTCAAAAGCACAAAAATATCTCCAGGTCATGGCAAGCACTGGGGAGATCCTGGTGGGACATGCCAGGGGCTCGGCCAGGGCTTGTCAGCTGAGTGCTACATAGCCAAAAGGGAATGGTATGTGTGTTTGTTTCGTGTTTTTTCTCCTTTTGTTTTTTGTTTCCCCCGTTTTTTTTGGGTACAAAAATATATTGTTTTCAAGACCACGCCGGCCCGTGAGGAAGTGTGTTTCTAGTCTTGCGCGTCCTTTTGTGTCGGCGAGGTATCCTGGGAGTTTGAAGGGACCCAGACCTCCAGCGTCATGTTTACCCCTACCTTAAACAGCCAGCCACAAAGAGAGTTCCTGTTCCCCAGCGGAAATCCAAAAACGATGCGTTTTCAGGGTACCTGTTTGTTGGTTTTTTCCGGGGGGAAGGGGACGCCACCCCAGGACTCATTCGTGGTTGCCTTTGACCCGAGCGAGCTTCCCGCATCCATTCCCTTCAGGATGACGGGTACCTGCGAGCTTGGTCCTCCGACAGGGGTACCAGCCAGCAGCTCTGGCAGGTCAACTGCCACAGGCTCGCCGCTCGCCGGTGGTTGCGCGTGGCAGGTCAGTCTTGGGGTTTGAATCCCGTTCCATTTGTTTCAACCCGGTGAGTCACGGGCAAAATAAGCGAACACCACTGTGGCAAAGCGGGGTTGGCAGCATGAATTTGCGGAGAGCCTCGCAAAAAGGATAAGGCCCCCACCAAACATGATGAGACTCGCAGAAGGCTGTAAAGCGAAACAGCCCCCGCCAACACGAAAACTACATATAAGACAAGTGATTTTGACGGTAATTAGCTCATGTGTGTTTTTCAAACACCGGCCTTTTCCTGAAGTTGTTTGGCGGCTGTCTGAAAAACAAGGATCCCTGGAAAGACTGGGGAAGTTACCCCCGGAGTCAGGAGATGCGCATTTCTCCCGGGGTCAGGACATGCGCAAAATACCAAGCCATAGGTGAGGGAGATTCGCAGCCATACGGTTCCTTGGTTCTACGGGTTAGGGCCCTTCTTCTGGAGGACCATGTT